CCCAGCGCTTTTGTCCATCGAATTTGGGCCCCAGATCGTGGGTATCACGATCATCTTGGGCAATTTTCGCGCATGGAACTTTCAACTCCAAAATGGACTGACAATTGATTTGTGCCACAGCCACAGCCAGAGCGGAGAGCAGAAACAAAAGCAAAGCGAAGCAAAACAAAGCTTGGCTGGCTGCAATTTAAATTAAAAGCGCAATTGAACTGGAAAATTCGTCTAAATTGTTTTCACAATTACCCACACACGGCAACCTGAGAAGATCAGGGTGACAGCCGGGGGAAAGCGAAGAGTTCAAGAGTTTTTCCACCAACTCCATTCCCACTTCCACTTCCATTTCCATTTTCATTTCCATTTCCAATTCCATTTCCACCATGGTCACAATCAAATCCAATCCTCGGCAATCGCAGCTCTAACAACATGCAATACAGCCGGGCCGCAATACATAAAAATTTCAAAACTAATGATGCCGAGGAGCTGAGCCTGGAAAAATAAGGCCTGAATGAAAAACAAAATCAGAAAAAAAGAGCTGCTTTCGTTCACAATTTATGCATGAGAAGAAAGATCTTTGGCAGAAGAAATGGTCCGCTTTTTTGTGGGAGTTCTTTTCAGCTTGGCTTTATTTTTTCGCTCTGAGCAGCGCTGTCTTCGATGATAAAGATCGGAAAAGCCCCAAGTTTAGAAAGGCAATAGCCAGAGCCATAGCCATAGCCAGAGTCAGAGCAATGGCAATAGCAAGAGCAGAGCAGCATCCGAGCCAAGCGGAGTATCTATGTATCTGCAATACATAAATTGTATGTATCTATAAGGTCTACAATGTATCTCTTTTCGGTCTTCTCTGTGTGTATGTGTGTTTGTGTATCTATGTAATGAGCATGTAACTAAACTTCTGTGTAGCCAAAACTCCTACAACAGAGACAAAAAACCCAAAGCCTAGACCCACTCTATAGCTCTGTAAGCTGTAGAGCTCTACAGCTCTGAAGCTCTGAAACTCTGCAACTCCCTCAATACCCAATACCCGTTTGCCTTTGCCTTTGCCGTTGCCGTTGCCACAACTTCAATTCAACTGAACTGTACTGGCTGCTCTTCGGGGCTCTCAGTCTCCAGTGTTCAGTGTTCAGTGTTCAGTGTTCAGTTTTCAGTTTTTCAGTTTTTCTGGCCGTGCTCTATCTGATGATGGCCGTTAACGTTCAAGTTAAGGCCCGAAGAGCGCCCGACCCGACCTGCTGCCCTGTCTTCTGCCTTCTGTCTTCTGCCCTCTTCCCGATCTCCGATCCCCTATCCCCGATTCTTCTGGCAGTGACTCGTAAACATGAGCTACGTTCTTGCCCCATACCCCTTTCTTTTCAGCCGGGTTTTGTCTTTTCCCCCGCCGCGACTTGACTTCATTTGTTTGGCTTTTTTGGGAGACAAAACTGGTTATTGCTCTCGCCTTTTCTTCGGCTTGGTTGCTCACAGTGTTTGTATTTTTTTCGGTTAGGTGAGCGGTGGTCCCTCCTCCGTTCTTCGTACATCTCTTCTGTTTTTCGGGGCCCCAGTGGCGTGCACACATATGCAAAGGGGCCCCTTTGGCCACGTAGGGGCCCATGGAGGTCCCGGAGACCACGTCGCTGTACGGGCCACGCAGCTTCCAGCCTCGAAGTCTCCTAGGCAACTGCTACCAACTACGATGGGTATTGCTTAAAAGTGATCTGCTAATATTAGAGACATAAAACGTTCAGGGGAACCCACTTAAAGTTTTACATCTTAAGGTTTTTTTAGTCATATTATCAAACATTTTTAAAGATTGAAATGAGTTAGCATATGTTTTATATTGCTACCTCGTCTATGAAATAATGAGTTGAGATATTGCTTTGTAAATAACTGTTCCTCCTAGCCAATAGCCACTGTAGCCAGCGATTCAAGCGGGGCAGCAAGCCAAACGACAACCAAATCTCGGTGCTGCAGCTTCTAAGTGGAGGCTTGGTGGGCAGCGTGCAGCAACAAGTAGGAAGTGGGCGCTTGGCAAAGGCTTGGCCTGGACTTGGTCTAAAACCGAGATCGGGACTGGCCACCTACCTCCTCCTCCTCCTCCTGCTGCTCCTCCAGCATCCCGCACAACTCCTTTGTTACATTTTGCGAGCGAGCTAGAGGTAAACGATCGTTAGAAAGGTTTTATATGAAGCCATGGCTTCAGATTTGCGCTCACGTCTATTTATTGGACTTGCAGTTTCTGGAGCCAAACTGAAAAGCTGGATCTGTATGTGCCAGAGCTATCGTTTCTGCACGGAGAACATACTGTATATAGTTGCCTTAAAGACTTCTTTTAATTCTTGAAAATAATGAGGATTTGTCTTACTGACAGTACTAGTATTAGACAATTACAAGTCAAAGTAATTGCATTGCTAAGGTTCATATTTAGCTATTCTAGTTTATGTAAGCCAGATACAAGAATTTGGCTTAGATATAAAAAATATAGAAATTTTTTTAGGTTGATAATATGCAGTAACTTTCAAAATACCCATTTCTTTTGGTGCATGGTCATGTTACCACCGCCTGTCGTTTAAGATGGCTCTTGGCTCTTGGCTCGCTGTTTGTTTTGTTTTGGCCTGCACAGTTTTTTATCCATTTTGGTGGCCTGTCCTCCATCCTCTAAGCTCCATACTCCATCCTCCAAGTTCGGAGCTCCCGACTCCTAGCTCCCAACTTGCAACTCCCTGCTCCATCTTCAAAAGTCCGTCCTCTGCCCCAGCCTCAACTTCAATGGAAGTGGAAGTGGCATGAAATGCTGTTAACCTCGTTTGAACTTTGCCATTTGTTTGAGCCATTGGATGGCCGATCTTTCTTCTTGCCAATGTTTTTTATTTCTACGTATTTCTTTCAGCGCTCCTCTCTCTGTTTTTGGACTGTTTAGACAGCCGGCCAAGCAATTTAAATATATTGCAAACAAAAGGAGTGTATGTAATTTAATGTGAGTGGACGTCGGACGCGGACGTGGATGGGGCCTAGAAATGGGATTGGAATGGTTTTGGTTTGGTTTGGTTTGGTTTGGCCTATGGTATGGTATGGTATGGGGGTTGGATGATGGGGACCATGGACCGTGGCAGTTGGGCAATGGCTAAAAAACACAACTGACATTTACAGTACGAGAGATACGGGTCCGAGCACCAGCTGGAGATTGCCCGGGTCAGGCCGAACCAATCCTCGTCCGCACCTCTTCGTCGATAACCCAAGAAGCCATTCGAAATCCCCCTCAAACACCTCTGTCAATGCAACTCCTGCCTACACACCTCGAAATTTTCGCAATGACAAGTAGCCCAGGCGTGTGTGATTTTCTGTAATCTACAGAAAGAGCTGGTGTTGCTCCAAGCTGGTCTTCCACTAAGGCTGGGCTTTGAACTGGGTTAGACCAACTGTGGGAAGAACAGAGCGTTTAATTGGGCCAGCGAAAGATCGGGGGTGGGAGTTACCATACACGGAGAGCATTATCTAGTATTATAAATAATAGTATTAGAATGATAATAATATTAGTTATCTGTTCAGTTCTCATATTGCATTATATTACAATATTATTCTAAGAAACTAATAATTATTCAAGGTCTCTACCCAGTTTGGCGCAGTGTACACTAAGTATTCAAGAGCAGCGACCATAAAGACGTTCTAGCTTGTCAGATGGACCGAGATTAGTTTATGTTTTTGGGGGAAGAACGGTGGCGAACAAACGGTAGCGGATGACCTGATCCAAGACCATTACCATAGTCCATTTTGGCCCGGTTCCAGGTCCAACCAATTAGCACTATCTAAAGCAGGCTAGTGGGCTGGGATTCCTCTTGGTTTTATGGCGACTGGGGTACACTTTATGTCCCCCCAAAGAAATGCCGGGTATATACATACACACATACATATGCACATATACCCACGCCTACAACAATTAAGCCCGCGTTGCCGAATTTCAATTACAGGAAGCGGAAAATGAATGAAAATACGCGTATGGAAATGCGAGTTCTGCAAATTTCATTGAGTACGCAGAAAACTGTGTCACCTTGGCGGTAAAAAAAAAAATTCGACCGATCGGAAGACCACAAAAGAAAAGGTAATATAAAGTAATACTTCCCGCTACCTTATAATGAAGAAGAAAATGGGGAAGGGCGAGCAACAGCTGCGCAAGCGCTTTTCGAAGAGGGCGGGAAACGGTAAGGGAGGGGAAAGCTAAGACAGACAACAACCCTTCTTAGTTTTTGGCAATGCCATTGACACACCAAAATAAAAGGAAACAACAGAAATTCCGCGTATCTGTGTGCAGTACCTTATTTACTACACTGAAGAAAAACTGGACCGATTTCAAATAATATTATTTTATTAGTGAATAATGTCAAGCAGTATTAATTTTAAATGTCATTTAATCTTTTCATTAACCATATTTCGATAAAAAAAATGTATTAAATTGTAATAACAGAAATTAATATTTACTTTTTTTCGTGCATACAAAATGTATTTGTATGTATTTGCTTGTCTGGAAAACCTTTCCATTACACTTCCAATCCTCAAGAAACCACCCCAAGGAGAAGAAGAAGAAAGAGAGGGGCAAAAAAAGGTGCGATCTCTCTCTTGCTCTCTCTTTCTTCACTGTCGAAGAGTCGACGGCCGTTGTAATTATTTTAATAATTTTCTGCGTCATCATTATTTTTCTCTGCCTTTGATATATATTTCTTCTTTGTATCATTTGCACACACGATTGCACACATATAAAGAGTTGGAGAGGGGAAAAGAAATTCACGCTCAGCATTAAATGTGTGTATGTGAGCAGAGTTCAATTACCAGCTTGCGGGTTGTCAAGGTATCAAAAAGCAAAAAATAGGGGAAAATTCTAATTTCTTTTTAGACTAGTAAATATTTAAAAGACATTATGAATAAGTTATTCTAAGGTAACCCCCAAATTAAACCCATAGCAAACTAAGCAGTTGAAGTAACCAGGAAACGAGGGCTTCGACAACCCTACGATCGCGTCGTGAGAGCGGCTTTGCTCTCTCGTTGCTCAAAACGAGCCGAGGTATATAAATGGAAGAGCGTCACTCGCGAGCAATTGTTGTTTCTGCGCCGTCGGCGTGGCGCCCGCGTTTCTGCGCTCCTTTCGAAAAATAGTTGAGGAATTTTAAAGTAAAATGTCATAAACAAATAGTAGTTAGTAACTGAAATTAAATTGGTTTACGCGTGTTTTCTGCGTTCGCCTTTTGCGTGCCAGTGTGTGTTCGTATGTCGTTCTTAACTAAAATTGCCGTTGATTACAAGCCGAGCTCACTCACACACACACGCATGCTCTATCGCACACACTCGAGACTTTACTTTACCGATATGTACATAATACAAAAAATGAGCGAATGAACGAACGGATGCACGCAGCATTTACAGTTGAGTTTAAATGTGACTTCTTATTAGAAATGATTTAGTTTCAATAGCGATTTGATATAAGCGAATTTCCAAAACGAAACGACGCCGCGTGTGTATTTTGTATGTATATATATATATGTATGTATGCATGTGCCTGTGTGTAATTCGCCATACTTCTTCAATTCAAAGAACAGACAGAAGAAGAACACAACAACAAGAAGGCAAGACATACTTGAAAAATAAAAGCAACTACAACAGCTATCGCTATCAACTTGAGCCATCAGCGCAGGCTCTCTTGTGCACTCTCCCGTTCCATCCCGCTCTTTACTGTTTAGCTGTACGCGTGTGTAAGCTTCGCTTTGTTAGTGTATGGGTATGTATATAAGCGGGCGAAAAAAAACCTATATATTACGCTCAATTTTCCCTATATTTTTTGCGCCTGCCAATAAGCGGTTCTTTGGTGGAGTTGCCACACTGCCGCGCAGATCGTGGAATTTTTAATTGGAATTGGGAAAGATTCGTTGCGTACTCATGCACATCTGTATTTGCGTGTGTGTGTGCTTGTTTGTAGACCTGATAAGACGCAGAGAAAGCAGAAAAGAGACGCTGCTTATCAACGCTACAAAAAAAAAAATAGAAGAAGAAACGAACTAAATGGGTCGACCACATTGTCGTGTATTGTTTTTGCACTATCGCTTAATAATTGAAATTAAAGAGGAGGCAAGAGAAACAGAACTCAAAAATCCCATTACAATAGAATTGGAATTTGAATCGGAGCTGGAAATGAAACTGGAATTCATACTACTGTTTTTAGTGGGTGGGGGTCCAGTGTTTCACATTGATTTTCTTAGTATTTGTGACTAGATCCACACTCATTAATAACGGTAGTTCAATCATCGAGCACGTGTTTTCTGCACTTCTGGACAGTAACTTATTCCTTCCAAGGGAGGAAAAGGGACAAACAGGTGGTGTTCTTAAAAACAACAAAATGTAATTAGTCAACGTCTCGCACGCACACAACGTCATTCAGACAGAACGACAAAAAAAAAAGAAAAAGAGCACCTGTTCGAGTGCCCAAAAGAGAGCGAAAGAGAGCAAAAGGAAGAGTGATAGCGGAAGAACGACTTGATTGCAGCCCCGAAACTAAAATTAAAATTAATGCTAATTTGGATTATTTTCGGGCCTAGGAAAGCGACCCAGAAAACGATCCCCAAATTCAAAATTAATTGTAGCTAAGAAGTGGGAAAATTGTTAGCCGAGCTAACAAAGGTTAAAAGTTCAACAACTGTTGCCAGCTGACTCACAACGTCTTTTCAACGTACAGTTGCTGTGGAAATAATAGTGTTTTCAGTATAACTCTAAAAAATCAGGAGAAAAGGATGTATTTATGTAGTTTTTTAATTTGCTTATCCAATCCGATGGGGAAATCATTCTAAATAACGAATAATACATTTAGAAAACAACAATGTATTATAAATTTCCATATTTATACACTCTATTTGTACAGTTTTCCGAGAGCCTGGTTCTGCGGTTTAGCCCGGCAACTGTGTATTTATTCTCTATTCCTGTAGTTCCGCCTCCCCAACTCCTATGACTTGTTCTTCTCTGGTTTCTACCGGAACAAATTGCTAAAATACTAAATTCTGAGAAGACAACGCTGTGGCATAGTTCAGATTGATAGTTATATATGTGTATATACACCCCCGACTTGGCAAACAAACAATAATTTCCGTCGAATAATGTGGATGGCCTGTCATCTCGCATATGTATCGGATTTTATCCAACTTTGTCCTCCCTTTTTTGTGCCTCGATCAGCAGAAATTGAAACTGCAACGACGCCACAATTCTCAAACAGTTCTGATTCTGATTCTGTCGGCTTTTCGTCTGAGAAGAATCGCTGGGCGGGAATAAGGGGCCGATATATACATATATTTATATATGTGTGTGGTATTGTATAAATCAGCAGAAAAAACAGCAAACGCGGACAAGCGAACAAAAAATAATAAACCTTAATTCGAAGCTCGGAGCTTGATTCATTCATATTACCCGGGGATCTGAAAGCACAAACAAAAAATAGAGAGAGGGAGAGAGAGAGAGAGAGAGAGAGAGTGAGACGGGAGGGCAGCGGACTGCTGACTGACCACCCAATTGAGCTATGAAAACCGATCAAACCGATCGCAATTGTTGCCAGGCACGAGAGCAATGACATGACATGCAAAAGCAGCAGCAGCAGTCGTAGTTGGAAAACCAAAACTAAACTTAAACCAAACCCAAAAAGAAAAACCAAACCCAATCACCAATCACAACAGAAATGCCACAGAAAGTCGTGCTGGGGCAATAATCATCATCCGCGAATGGGGAAGGAAAGGAAGGATGCTCTTTTCTGACTCTATTTTGTCGGCGAACATGGATCTAGTGCACGGTGGTTCATGATTAAGTTCGTGACTAGATTTCATGCTCGTCTATTAAGTTGGGTCAGCACAACGAAGAGAGCTTTTCTCCCCGAGGAGCTGATGGAGAAGGGGACTTTTCTACTGGTTGAGTGGCCAATTAGCAGACGCATTAATTATGGGAAATGTGCATTTGCCTGATTGACCCGTGACCCACATAGAGTGGCACACGCCCTGCACAAATAACTCCCGAAAATGAGGGCGTGTTTAAATAATAAAAGTAAATAGAGTCAACGGCCGACTGTCCCGCATGCTGTATGTGCCCACAACTTACTCTAAAAAAAAGAAACGTAAGTCGTTTTGCGATTTGTGCTGCCAACAGTTGCAGAATGTGGAAAACCAAGACCCGCGACAACCAATTTATGGGTTGGCGACACGCGATTAAAAATCGAATCCAAACGGCCCGTACAGAAGCCCAGAAACCCAGGGAACTGCAACTCCCATAGATTTCCGTGTGAAAAACTCAGCGAGGGTTGTTGCTGTGGCGCCTGCGGGTAAGTAACGGCTCTTTACCCGCTTTTTGTCATATGGTGAGAAAAAAAGGAAATATCTGTGGATTTTTTGACTTAAATATTTACTTGCCTTAAACCCAATTTGATACTAATCGGTTAAAGGTGTTCATTTTTAATTTAATGTAACAATATTGACTTCCACAAAAAGTTCCTTATATATTAACTGGATCAAGAATGAACTATCTTATGTTTTTTGTGTTGTTCTGATGTCAGTATGTGTAATTGAAACTTAGCTTCTACATTATTAACCAAAAAAATTAAAGTAGAAAAAAGTCGTAAGAATACGATTTTGAGTATATCCAAAACCTTAAACGAAAACTTTCAACCAAAATAAGGTTTTAAAATATATTGATAATGATAAAAAGAACCTTAAGTGATATAAGTTTTTTAAGATATTTTTCCCCGTGCACTTTTGTTGCCAACGACAACAACACGACATACTGTTGCGTGGGCGATTGAGTGTAACTGTAACACCTGCTGCCGCTATTAACACAACATTTTCTCTGCTCTCCAATTTTAATTTCAGGCCAAAGGAATGAAGCCGGAACACCTTTCAACCCTGTTGCCAGCCATTGTTAATACCATAGCCACTACTATATGGTAGCTACTCCTCCTACACGATCGCATTCGCATTGGCTTCACGCTCATTTAAATACCAACGCACTGGGTGAAAAGAGAGGGCGCTGCAACAGAGGAGCAGTCATCTAACAAAACATTAGTTGCTTGCTCGGCTGGCTCGATGGATAGCTAGCTGATTTACATATTTTCTAAATGAATATATGTTGTATGTGGCAGCTACGAGTTTGCAGCAGCACCACCGACGGTGGCAGCAGATTTCCCTGCACTGGATTTCCACTTCCTCCTGGACGACGCATCAGCAGCAGAAGTAGCAACAAGAAGCCGTCAAACGCTGCAACTAATTGATATAATAGTTAAAATAACAAACTAACGAGAAAGAGCTTGTCGTCGGCGAACGCGCGGCGTTGCTGAAGTGCAAAACCTTTCCAATTTGAGAATAGCTTTCCTGCTATGTGTGCTCGTTCCCACAAGCAGCAATGCAGAACTTGAACTCTACAGCTCCACGGCGTCATCATCATCATCATCATCAGCAGCAGCAGCCTCAGCGTCATTATTATCTTCATCGACGGCAGCTGGAAAAATGTTTACCCCAATCCCCGAGACACAATCGCAGTCCCAATGCGCGGCATTTCCGTTCGGGAAAAAAGGAGGATGCAGCCGAGGCTCTATAGATCGGTTCGGTGCTGATGGGTTTTGCAAGGGGACGTAGTAGTAATCATATTTATTACATCTAAATAAAGTACGTGTAATGTATTTCATTAAAAACGGTGTTGTCTTTGATTTTATTTGAGTTGGGAACAGGTCAGAAGGGGGAGGTGTTCATGTATGTATTTACGTGTTGAAATGAAATTTTTAGTTCAATTCCTTGTTACAAAAAACAGGAACTGAACAATTCTGCAGAAAATGTTTTCAGTGAAGTATTTTAAAGGGGATCTTAACAGAGTTTGTGGCTGTTAATCAAAAGAAAGGTGCAAGTCAACAGCTGTTAGGCAACACTGCTAAAAACAATAGATTGATCACTGGATAGCAGGATTTCAAATAAGTTTATATAACGTAAATTAAGATCAAGTGAATTGAAAATAAAAATAAAATGGAAATTTAAAATGGGATTACATTGTAAAGCTTTCGATTAAGCTGTAGGCCTTACAGAAATGCCTTTTGACCCGTATTCCACTTTAAAAAAAAAAATTTTGTTGTCATTATCAATATAACGTTTAAATTCAAAATTTTTTTTCCAATAACGCTCTGTTAGTGGTGGAACATCATGCGTCTTACAGTACTCTGTTAACGCACCCACATTAATTCTGCTTTCAAAAACAAATGGTAAAAGGAAAGGTTTTTTTCGATCATTTTGTATAGTAAAATATATAGAAACAACTTGCTTGTAACAAAATAAACAATCGATTTTTGAAATTTGAAAAGGATATCGATATATCGGTGAAACATCGATGTCTTCTGCAGCCCTGTTTCCGTCCCTTCTCTTCTTCGTTTCCGGTGAGTGCGTGTGCTCCGCGTTTCTCGCTGAATTTGTCACTATATTGTATTTAATATTATATTTGTAGGCAGACGATTTAAACGGCGAATCCACCATGGTGCAAGGAGTACGTAAATATGCCAGGAATACAGATTTGCAAATCCGTGGCGTTGGTCGATGAAAATTTGCGAATTTGCGAGTGCCGGTTATGTGCCACGATTTAATGCTTATCTTCATGTTTGGTTTTTGCAGACTCTGTACACTTATCCCGAGAACTTCCGGGCCTACAAGGCTCTTATTGCGGCCCAGTACTCCGGAGCCCAGGTGAAAGTAGCCGACAACTTCAAGTTTGGCGAGACCAACAAATCGGCTGAGTTCCTCAAGAAGTTCCCCGGTGGCAAGGTGAGTTTTTATTTTTGGGTGCGGTTATTGCCATGTCATCAAGTTGATATGCTCGCAGGTGCCCGCTTTTGAGACCGCCGATGGCCAGTACTTGAGCGAGTCAAACGCCATTGCCTATTTGTTGGCAAACGAGCAGCTGCGTGGTGGAAAGTGCCCCTTTGTTCAGGCCCAGGTCCAGCAATGGATCTCCTTCGCCGACAACGAGATTGTGCCTGCCTCCTGTGCCTGGGTCTTCCCCCTGCTGGGCATCCTCCCACAGCAGAAGAACAGCACTGCCAAGCAGGAGGCCGAGGCTGTTTTGCAGCAGCTCAATCAGAAGCTGCAGGACGCCACCTTCCTTGCCGGTGAGCGTATCACCTTGGCCGATATTGTAGTCTTCAGCAGTCTCCTCCATCTGTACGAATACGTTCTGGAGCCCAGTGCACGCAGTGCCTTTGGTAACGTGAACCGCTGGTTCGTCACCATTCTCAACCAGAAGCAGGTCCAGGCCGTGGTCAAGGACTACAAGCTGTGCGAGAAAGCACTGGTCTTCGATCCCAAGAAGTACGCCGAGTTCCAGGCTAAGACTGGAGCCGGCAAGCCCCAACAGCAGGCCCAGCAACAGAAGCAGGAGAAGAAACCCAAGGAGAAGAAGGAGCCGGCACCTAAGAAGGCCCCCGAACCTGCCGAGGAGTTGGATGCCGCTGATGAGGCCTTGGCCGCCGAGCCCAAGTCAAAGGATCCCTTCGATGCACTGCCCAAGGGGACCTTCAACTTTGATGACTTCAAGCGCGTTTACTCCAACGAGGACGAGGCCAAGTCCATTCCCTACTTCTTCGAGAAGTTCGATGCCGAGAACTATTCGATCTGGATTGGAGAGTACAAGTACAACGAAGAGCTGTCCAAGGTTTTCATGTCGTGCAATCTCATCACCGGCATGTTCCAGCGTCTGGATAAAATGCGCAAGGCGGCCTTTGCCTCCGTGTGCCTGTTCGGCGAGGACGGCAACAGCACCATCTCCGGAATCTGGGTGTGGCGCGGACAGGATCTGGCCTTCACCCTGTCTCCCGACTGGCAGATCGACTACGAGGTCTACGACTGGAAGAAGCTTGACGCCAAGAGCGAGGAGACCAAGAAGCTGGTCACCCAGTACTTCTCCTGGACCGGTGCCGATAAGGATGGCCGCAAGTTCAACCAGGGCAAGATCTTCAAGTAAACAGCTCATTTCAGCTCAGCTCAAAGCAGCAGCACACATTTAGACCAACAACAACAACAGCAGCAGTAACAATAAAGTTTGAGATTTGAAATGCAGGAAGATCACGATGCCTATTTCTAAAGTTCCAACTGATAGTATCCTAAAGATATCCAATATCTATCGTGCTGCCTCCCAGATTCGGTGGCATTGTGTTTAGCCTTCTGCATTTTATACTGAAATATTTCTATGTAACCGCCTAAGCATACTACACCATGATATTGTCAAAGGAACAGCAGCCTGCAGCCAGAACATAATTTATAAAAAATAAAAAGTTTTCTATTAATAATACCACGTTTCTGTCTGGTTTAATGGACTGTATTTTAAGGATACACTGGGTATTCATTTTTCGCTTTGTCGCAATGTAGTTTTATTTTATCAAAAGCAAGCACTCGTAGATGTGAATACTTGTTTGCTATCAAATTAAGCAAATCGTTTTCGATGTTTTTTGGGCAATTTTATTGGCTTCTTTTAACTCCATCCATTAATATCATCAATTATTGCTTACGATTACAAGGGGTTCTGAAAGTGTATAAGTGTTTCGAAGAAGGTCAACCATTAATCTTGGTTTTAAAAGCAAACAGAAGCTCCAAGAGAATTTTAACAAGGAAATGCTAGAGGTGTTTTAAATCGATGCATCGCTGGAATTTACTTCTTCACCACTACAGGTCCAACGTTGTCACCAGTCAGCTTGTTGTGCTCGCCATGGCTACCATCGCAATAGGGCCACTGTTAACAAAAAGGTGAGATTGGGTTTGCTTAAATATTACAATTCACTCACATTCTTGGTCTTCCAGCATCGACAGAAAGCTGCCTTCTCCGCAATATCCTCCACATCGATCATATCCACCACCTTGGGCTCATGTTTCCGGATTTGGTGGTTGCATCGCCCGCTGCTTTTGGCCAAGCACTTGGCCTTTGCAGCCGGACAAAAAGCCAGATAACCGGTGTAACCCAAGCCGGCCACCACAACGGTGGGCGGGATAAGGGCTAGCCAATCCTTGACTGAAAATTAAAATGGAATAAGACTACGGTATATTTTAGGCTATAGAACTAGATATTTTGGCCAATCAGCCGTAACCGGCACAAGGTCGTTTTTTATACACAGATTACGTGCGTTTTGCAAGATTTATCTACATATGCTTATATGTAAGTGTTTGTGGCTTTATTGGGTTATATAGTTTCCTATCTAAAAGATAAACTTGCTACAAATATAAATTTCTTTGCGACCCCAACAAATGTTGCATAATCGCGGTGCATGCTTTTTAATTTGCTAACTGGAAGTGCAGGTAATGCGTTTTCGTTTCGCTTTAGTGTTAAAGCGATTTCAGCACTTGAACAGAACCCAAAAGTCGGGGAACTAGATGCTGCGTCATTATCACAGTTTTTGGGTTTATATAGGGCGCCCTTTTGAAGGCAAATCAAATTCCAACCACGACCACACCATATATATCCATGTAAAACTTATTAACTTACAGGAAAGCTTAAACCAGCCGCCAACGCTATCAGGAATCGGAAGATTTGATAAATAATTGGGTAAAGTGGATTTAACTAGCTGTGATATTGGCTCCATTTCAAATTGGTTTTGTATTCTAGTAGGGAATATATATTCTGAAAAACCTGTTTCTGTTTTTGTAATCCTATCGGTTAATGGTGGCAGCACATCGATAGATAGAAGCTATCGATATCACACGGCTTAAAGATCTTTCTCAAAATCAGTCCTACTAATTAAACGTTTCCACACGAGACTTAAAGTTGAAATAACGTGAGCCTTCTCGTTTTTCTAAAAGCTATTAGACGGATTTATGTATATTTATTTATTTATGTTCCAGAACGAATAATATAAATTTGTATGCTGCTGTTTAATTGTGAATTTCCTTTAGAACATTTTAAGATTTAGGATATGGGTCTTATCTTCATTTCAACAAACGTAAGAGAGGTCGTATACTCGTTATTCCATGTTTTCCAATTAATTCCCTTGCTGCTGGGCGAAGTTCCACTTTTATGGTATAGTCCATTCAGTTTGCTGCAGTTAAAATCATTTTAAACAAGTATTCATTTTAGTTTTTATTAGAATGTTTACCTTTCAAAACAATAATGAAACCACCAACCGCCTGTAAAATCAGAACTGCATTTGTTAGGTGAAGTATCCCGATCCCAAGTGCTAAAGTTTTTCTGTTCATGGTATTTTAATGAATCTCCGGCTGTCCCAGAATAATTTCCCAATGTTGTAAGCATATAATGTTCCTGCTCGCTTCCAATTTTGAAATTATCATATCGGGCGTACTTACTAACATTTTTATGAGCAAGCTCGATGAGCAGTTCGTGGGGTTTCTTAGTTAGCTGGTGTAGTTTTTCTAGACCGATGAAAAACTCAGAGTTTATATTACCAAATCCATTTTTATAATCAAGCCAGTCTCGACTGAAATTCTCAGACCCGTCCTTTCGTCTTTGAATAATCATCCATCCATCGATATTACAGGGAGCATAAAATTTAGTCATTCCTGGTATATTTATTGTGTAAATACCATTTGGTTGACCTATAGGACAACTGCCAAAGCCCCGACAAAGTGAATAATCTTGGGTTATTTCCGATATTTTTTCCAAATCCATTTTATTTTGCTTGTTAAGACCATCGATTTGATTATCTTTACTCGAAATTTGTGCTCTTAGAGACATATTTTCCTCTTCCTTACTTGTAATCTTATCAAGTTGAACCTTGATTTCTTCATCTCTTGACCTAATAAAATTATCTCTTGTTTTAATTTCTTCTGTTTTCTTTTTAATTTCATTATCTTTAACAACTAATAGATCTTCTTGGATTTTAATTTGACGTTCAGCACTTTCTATCCGATTTTGCAAGTTACTTATAGTTATTGTCATATTAATCACTTTACCATTATTGGCCTTTATGAGTTCACTCTGAGCTTCTATTTTTTCATCCTTCTGTTTTACTAAAAGCTCATTGCTTTTCAGTTGTACAATATATTCGGTAATTTCCTTGTCTTTTATTATTACTTGATCTTTAATTCGTGTTTCACACTCAAGATTTGCCAAACGACTTTGCAAATTGTTAAGAGTGCTTGCATGATCATCTTTAATTTTGAGCTGTTCATTTTTTTCCTTTATAATAAGTTCTTTGAATCCTATTTTTTCTACAGCAATCGCCAACTTACTCTCCAAGTCTTTAATATTATTTGACATTGTATTTATGGCATCAGCTTCCGGTTTGAGCAATGTATAGTTATCGAGGATTGGCTTAAGGATTGAAAAGCAGCGTAAATTGCATGTACTCTCCAGATTTGTATTAGGCGAAGACGATTCTTGAAGCCTATTTGCACTGCCTTCAACAGATATTTTTTCCAAGACCCAAGTCATCATAAAAAAGGTAAAAAACCACGTCTTCATTATGTTGAATATGCGAACTCAACTGCAGCCCACTCTGAATTAAACTGAATTGAATGCAAATGAAAGTGGTTTTATAGGATAAGAAAGGTCAAGTCGGATGATGTTTTTGATTTCGGAAATACGCAAAAATACCCTATCAGGTGCCTTTTTCTTCTTTGGTCAATCAAAATTTGTGCATTTGAACTACTAAGTTTATAGAAATAATCCGCTTTATACTTTTATTTACTATATTGTAAACTGTTTCTAAAAAGAATAATAATAATAAAAAGGAAATTCAGAACGCCTAATTGTTTTTGAAAATAAAGGGTACGATATACAAATATAGTATTTCTATGAAATAGTGTGACCAGAAAGGTGTAATCGTTATCGTTTACTGGTTTTTCATGGGATTTTCAAAATATGGTCTCACTATTATAGTATTGTTATATTCGATTCAATTCGCACCAATTATTTGCTGTTTAAAATGTCTGCAGGGGTTCAAGAACGCCTGCAATTGAGTCGAGTTCCGCTGGACACTTGGTCGAAGCGTGAGCAGCTCATCCTTGCGTCTGCGGTTTCCTGCAGCGGCGACCAAAACTGGATAACGGTGAGTCGCACGCTAAAGGCGATTTGCGGCAACGGCAATGGAAGCGGCGGTGGTCCTAATAACCACAGCCGACCTGCGGATTGGTTTTCCCAGAAGAACTGCGCCGTCCAGTATGGCAATCTTCTCGAGAGCGTAGAGGCCACTAAGCGTAAGAAACGTAGTAGCGAGAGTAGCGCCGGAGTCTCTTCGCCGGCCACAGTGGAAACGCCAACGGAACTTCTTCTCAAGCGCCTCACAGAAGAACGACAGGCGGAGATTAAGGCCCAAATGCGCCATGATCAGGAGACTTATCGTCGCATCCAACGTGAGATTGATTCCCTGCAATCAAATGCTGTGTCCGAACAAGAACTGCAGGAAATGTGGCTGGATATAGAGAAGGAGCAGGAAACGCGGCGCATCGAGGAGATGAAGTTTGAAAATCGCATGCGGGAACGGGAGCAGCGGAAGAAAGATTTGGCTAGCAACTGGCGAAATAGCAGTCCTGCCCCCAGACGTCCCAACCAAACTACGGACACGACTTCTGTAGACATGGACGTGGAGGATATAAATAGTAGTGGCAATGGAATGGGAAAACAGCAAACGGGACCATCCCCTCTACTCACATCTCTTCTAAAATCCCCTACAGGCAATGCTCCTGCCGCGCCCATTACAAGTGGATCAAGTGCAGCTGCAGCTGGAACTGGTAGCGTCGCCAGGGTCACAGCACCGACAATTACATCCCTCTTAACTAGTGGCGCCAGTTCCTCCGTTTCCAATCAGCCAGCCATCACCATGAAGAGTCCCACAGATGCTGCTTTCATGTCTCGACCTATTAGTGGACCTCCGGTTAACGAGGCACTCACTCCAACAACGCCCACTCTGGAACGGAGTCCTTCCCAGTCGGCACCTACCCTCTCCATGCTGCTTGAGAAGAATAAAGCAGCTGCGAAGGTTAATGAAGGCGGAGTATTGATAAGACCCGAGGGTTCAGGAGGACAGGAGCAGACATTAGTGGATGACACAACAGGGGCGACCACTGGCACAGTAGATTCCGATGAGGCTGATCCCAACGAAGACCAGCTGTTGGAAGTCTTTCAAAATATTGACGAGATAATCGATGACATCGACATAGACATGGCCAGTGTCATTGATGAAGAGATTCTAAAAGGTGTAGAGGACGCCGTGGCATCTTCTTCAAGCGACAAGGCCGAGGTCATTGACTTTGAGGACAAGTTGGATGCTTTGAAGCGCGAGCAAAGTAAGAGTTCACCGGCCAATGATAAACCAAAATCGGTTGAATTGGTGATTGGATCAAGCGATGACTCAAACGATAATATACCATTGGCTGCTGTAGCATCTCAGGAAAGCAAAGATCGTGGTCAGTCAGGTGGGGAATCTTCTCATGGTACCGAGGAAGCAGAGTCTGAACCTTTGGCCAGCGAGATAGCGGTGGAAGAGATTGGTGAGACCATCACAATCATCAGCACTTCTAGTGAGGATACCGCAGGCTCACCACCTACTAAAATTGAGGATGAAGTGACAATCGATTCCCATTTAAAGAAAGAGGAAGCCAAGCAGGAGAAATCCGTAAAGGAAACTAGTTCCCGAAGCAAAGATGATACACGAGAAACCGCAGAAAAAGCCCGATCTATTGAAAACCAATCCACTGCAGAAGCACGAAGCAAAACAGGCAAAGATACGATAGAGAAACCTTCAACAATTGAGGAAAAGGTCGCTACACCTTTGACTCCTGTTTCCGTTCCCGTTCCTGGATCTCTGCAGGACACTGATGAAGAGTCGTCCTCCCTAACAGACAGTAGCAAGCAGGATGACCAGCCAAGAAGTGCAAGAGCGAAGACCTCAACATCGAAATTGACAGTGGACGACACTAAGTTGGAGATGGAGTTAAGTGGAACACCTCAACCTCCCTCTGCCCCAGCTCGTACTCCATTGTTACGAAAGCTACCACACCGAGATCGATCCGAGAGTCCAATGGTGGATGATGATGCCACTACCGCCAGTGATCATTCGACAGCTAGGTCCACCCGACGTAGATGCTCCTCCACGCCTGTAATTGACAGTATACCCAACTCTCCCGCCTCTAGCGAGCACACAGATGATCGAAGAGAAACGCGAGCCGCTTCCAAGAAACTCTTTCTCTCCATTTATGCCATGTTGCAGGATAGTAAGCATGCAGCCCCATTTAAGCGTCCCTTCCATGACGAGCACTCCCAGCGACATGCCGATCTCTGCCTGCGACCTATGGATTTGCCCACCATCAAGCGGAACATCGATTCGGGATTGATTCGCAGTTTGAGCGAGCTGCACAGGGATGTCCTTCTGATGGCCCACAATGTTCTGGTGGCCTATAAACCCCATACAAACCAGCACAAAACGGCGCGTTTGTTCGTGCAAGACTGTCAGGCGATCAAGGAGTTCTCACCAATGTCGGACACGCAGATTGCAGGGATCACGGCTACGCCGGTCAGCAACAGTTCCCGAGGAGAGAAATCAATCGGAAGCAAGGCCCGGAGCGGCTCTCGAAAGAGTCAACGGCATCATTAGTTTCTTTTCATTATTTTATACTCTCAATGATGGGTGAATTTAAAATCGATACATAAAATGCCCAAGAGAAAATAGTTATTAAATTAATGATGTAAGTCCTGGATTAAAACATAAACTAAATATAAAAAAAATTGATATATAAGGACGTCATAGCAGAGCATAATGTATCTGCTAACTGAAGTCTTTCTGTCGATGCTCTTGTAATTATTTCACTACGGAAATATATTCTCCCATAACAATTGATGAATATTTTTTTATTTATTATATTTATTCCATTGATTTCTAGTAACAAAATTTCATTTTGGTAGTACATATCACAAACTACCATTAACAATAAACATCAATCGAAAAATATGAGGTTCTGTAAGCGCCGAGATCTGGATGAGTGGCAAATGGAGCGACGTTGCGGACAGTAGAACTTCTTTAGACATCTGGAGAGTCGCAGGTCGCATTGGCAGAGACGGGCAGCACAGGAATCGGGGCCACCGAATTCTCCATGGTCTACGGCGCAAAGTGGTTTGCCACGATAACACTTCCATATATAGGGCACAAAGTATTCCAGATAGGAGATGCAGTTGCTTTGGCCGTAACACTTGTCATGCAGGCGACAACAGCGATCGATGCCATCGGCGGGAACTCCGTGTCCGCCGAATCCACAATAGCAGCCATAGCCCTTGTAAATCAGCGGGTCACAACCCGTGGAACACTTGATCATGGAGTATAGCCGAGCTACATCCCTTTTACCACGATCTCCCTCTTGCAAAAGTTCTTGCTCCTGACCGCTGTCATTATTGAAGCTCCACTTCATGGAGAATCCAAAAGGATCGTTTACCCTTGCTATATATACATTTTGGCCATTCATCAGGTCTTCCACCTCCGCTGGTTTACCAGTTGTTGATGTTATCACACGTATGTCCGTCACCCGGCCATCGAAATGATTGTTCTTGAAGTCAAGGTGTATCTCATCATGGGGATACGAGTTCTGCCAGCTGATAGGCGGGCTAGTGTCCCTGGAAAATAACTTGAGGCGTAATCATTAAAATTCTTTTTACGGGTGAGTTTTAGAGTATATGATTAGTGATATGAAATATTTTAATTATGGTTTTTAAAAATATATATCCAATTTAAAGAACTTTCTTTTCGATTAACAATAAACAAAATTTCGCCCAAGGTGAAACCTAAATCTACTAATTACGTTTAATGAGCTAGCATTACCTAAAGTTAAATTTTAATTAAACTTTTACACCTGTTCGTTTTTAATTTTTGAAACTATAAAAATCTCATTTAAGGTAATGAAAGTTACGAAACAATATTTTTAAAATTTGACACCATAGGGTTTAGAACTACTGAATTCTAACTCACTTATGACCCTGTTCCAGCCATGGCTCTGGGGGCTTTAACTCCCCTGTCCATCCATCCAGTCCCATCTGCTGCCACTCCAGTTGCGGCGTTTTGACCAGACTGGTCTTCACGCTGGTGTCCGGCGGAGTCGTGGCGGATGAATCTATGACCGTGGCCAAGTGGGTGACATTGGGAAAGATTGGTTCCGCGAAATCGGATCGCTGCATTGTTAGCAGCTCAAAGACATCACCACCACCGATCGATTTTCTGGGCATTTTAAAGACAAACGAGGGATTCGCACTACGCATGCTCGCCCCGTACATTTCCGGTATTATGTGATTCACCAACTCCGTATCATTGGTGACGCCTCTGAAGGCGTTCCTAATGTCTTCAATCACCGTGACATTTGCCACAGTGGCATTTGCCTCGTAATAGAGCCGCATGGCGGTCACTACTAGCCCCATTATCCACAACATGTTCGAATCCAGGAACTGACGTTCGATTCGATGGACACCAACACTCTGTACCGTCGATCCGCTCCGAACTGCTCGCCTCGAGTGGCTATCGAAAATTGAAGCTGGCTTGGTTTGGGGAAATGCGGTAGTTGGTAGTTTGTAGTTTGCTTGGCCAACAACACCAAGTACACCGGTATAAATGGCTCAAAAGCGTGTTAATAGCAAAATAGCAGCTGAATACGAACAGTAAGACCAGCGTAAACAATAATAACAACAATGAGCAGGTGTACAATTTTGGAAGAATTGGTGCAAATACACAACAAATAATTTGATTAAAAAATTATTGTATTGTTTGTAAATTAAAAAAAATGTTTTCTAATTCTAAGTTTGTGAATTTGGTATAAAAATTCTTATTCTTCTATTTTCAAGAAGTCATTAAGTTTTGACAATGAAAATCATATTTTTATAAGAAAGCTAGAAGAACTGCTGACTAATGCTGGAAATATTTTCTCTGGGTGGACTATAAAAATAAATCAGAGAAGGTGGTAAGGGGCTGGTGGGTGGCCGAAACGGTGGCACAAATTCAAAGCCACTTGAGAGTGGTGGTCATTTACCCACCAAATCTCAGTTTGAGAGTTAAGGCAAAGGTCGAACCCTAGAAGTGGATGATTCCGTTGCAGTCCTAACCAGTTCATGGTCAATTTTTAGTGGGCTTTAATTGATATAGTTTACAGTTTAGACTGCGTGACTCGGCTGCTTTCCCAGCTGCGAAATTGTGTGTGCAAAACAAAACTGACAATGGAGATAAAATATATCCACTCGTGTGCCTGGAGTGATTTTATATGGTCATGCCAGTAACCAGCCAGCCCGCTCGACCACTGCCGACTGGCAATTGCACATCGGTAATTTATTGTGCCCGCCCTCTTGTTACGTTGGCCCACTCCGTGGTTTTCGGTGGTCCAGTGGCTCAGTGGTCCAGTGGCTCAGTGCGCGCGAAAGGAAAAGCCAAAGCAAACAAGTCAATTGCACTTATGTAGCTTATTTTAATTCATGCTGTCATTGTGAGTATATTTAGGCCCTCTAATCGCTATTCCACGCAACTACTTATTCATATTAATGAGTGTATTCTGCTAATTATCACTTTGCTGGCTTTATGGAATAGCATAATATTTAAATTACCTTTGCCAACACCTTTTGCCTTTCCAAATATGCTTTAATCTCCATAAAAATGTGTTCTTTTGGAATTACCGTAAATATAATCTTCATATTTCCGATTGCAATCATCAACTATGTATAGTTTCTTACTGTACATTTATAAAAATTATATTACTTACATTTATACAAATTATTTATTTTTTTTAAAAGTTTGGAAAAGCGCCAAAAATGTATTCAAAAAAGTATTATTCGATTGGCGACCGATATCGATAGTAGAAATAGCAAAACAATCGCTAGCCCGACTGACATCGATTATAGTTTCTGCATCCCATCCCTAGTCGTCCGCTGCATATAATAATTTCGCTGGACTAACTAAATGAGAATATTTAACTAAAGTCCGGCCTAAATTGAACTAAAGCTTATGCTGATTAGCCGGCAGCTAGTTGACTGTCGTGTGTGAGATAAAAATCGACAAATGGTCATAAACCCGGCAACTGTGCGTGAAAAAAGTGAAAAGTGCTGTTAACGCAGCGAGTAGCGTGTGCGTGTAAATGTGTGAGTACGGGTGTACGTATGTGTGTGCGTGTCTTACGTTGCAAACAAAATTTCTTTACAATTTTTTTTGCATTTGATCGGCGGCTAAATCGGCGTTCTATAACTTTTTCCCCGATCCGTATAGCGCAGCATTGCTTCCCCGATATGTGAGTGTTATATTTTAGAGGCCTTGCAATGTGCAAACCTACTTAAGCATCTTATACCCATAGCCGTGCATAAATTATCGCCATTATAACGGCTTAACTGTTTACCTAGTTTGGGGCACCCGATTTTGGGTTTTAACAAATCTGTCCTCCGTATTTCGCAGTGACCTTCATCCGAGCAAAAGCAACAAAATCAATAGTAATATAGTTTACATTGCATTTGCCATCCACCATGCATCCATCCATCCATCCATCCACCTAGCCACCCACCGCCCCCTTTCCGTTTTTACATAATTATGGCCAAGTTCACGGGTTCATGTCTATATCTATTCAATTGGTTTTTGATTGGCTGCAGTAACGAGCGTGGGATTATGACATTATATATTGTCTGATTGGATGACACCGCATGTGATCGGGCAAAAGGTGCAGGCACCCACCATAAAAGGAAAATCAAGAAAACAGCTGACCGAGGCTGAATTTAAAAGCTTTGCAGGCTAAGCTTTGAAAGTTATTAGCTTGAGAAGATGGCACAGATATACTGATACCATATATATTCCCGTTCCCCCTTGAACTTCGGTATTTACCTGGCTATGAATCACTACTTGAGTTTGTGTCCCCACATGTGTAGATTAGTAATTGATTATCAATAGCGGACCTCTTATCGCTGGGAACCTGTTGTGATTGTGGCCAGTCGCCTGGCATTGCTCACCTCGATTCCACACTTTCATATGATATTGTAACTGCTGTACAATGCCTGGTATTAATTACATATCCACATCCGCAGGATAATGAAAGATGCACGAATATGACGTAAATGAGCGCAAAGAGGAACCAGCCAGTCTTCCACCCACTCAAATCGAGACCAGTGATACGGTCAGCAACATCCAGGGTAATCAGCAGCAGGATCAACCAAAAGAAGAGCAGGACCAGCAGGTTTCACAGGAAAATATCATCCAGCATCTGCAGGATCTGCCAAATAAGGAGCACGAGCAATTAAATTTACAGCCAGATCAACCGGATCAACAGCAGCAAGCACACATCTTCGAAGTATCTATCCTTTATCCTTTGGTAGTCTGCGGTCAGGTCGCACCCAGTCAGACTATTCTGATTGCGGACCCGTCGAAGAGTTCACCTGTTAAAAAGCGACAGCGTCGTGTTTATGTCGCCGACACTTCACGCTGCTCCAGTCTACGTTCCCGTCAAGAATCCGCGACCAAGGATCCACTCGAAGTTGGCCTAAAGCAGCCAGAAGTCGCTCCACCACCAGCGCTTGTTCAGGCACCTTCGCCTACGCCCACAGAATATACTGAATACACTCCACCAGGTAGGATTTGGCTCTGAAAGTCAATGAGAATCATATACCAGGTTTCACTGTTTTCCGTTAAACGCCACAACATGTTAAAAGCAAATATTGTGATCAGCGTAGTTATAAAATTATATAACACCTATGTGATTACGTTTGGAAAGATAGCTACTTTTGATTATCACATAACTGATTACAATAATCTCATTCTCCTACACACGTATGTGAACCAAGTTCCCCAATTCCAATTAGTTAATTTTTTTTGGAATATAAATTCTTTATTTTATATTATCCTAGTAGTTCTCATGTTTTAAAGTTTTACAATTTTTAATCGTGTTAATAACATTCATCTTTTTTCCAGAACTTTTTAGTCCGGAGTTTTGGAATCGCGTTGAGGAGGCGCAGGAGACAAAGCCAGCTGGGAAAAAGCGACGCGTTGCGGGAGGACCCAAACGAACTAGGGGTAACAAACTTCTAAGAGAGATCGAGATCCATTCGCCGGAAACGGCGGCCGCAATTGCGGCAGCGCAGGCTGAACTCAACGCCGCAGGAAAGTCGGGAGCAACAGGAACGCGGTCCAGCCGCAAAAGGACCAATACCAATACGATGTCACTGTACGATCGTCGATTTCAGGCAACCACCGATGAGCGTCGTGTGGCGAACGGATATGGAGGCAACGGTGCCCGATCAGGCACTGGATCCTCATCTAACGACATCGAGTCTCAGGAGCTGCAGAGCCATCAGTATTACGGGCCCAATGGAGGTAGCATAACGTCGGGAGCGGGCGCGCCTTTGAATGGAAGTGCGTCGGCCCTGAACCACGCTCCTTCGATGGGAACGCTTTGCAACATTGGCAATAGTTGCTACTTGAATTCGGTGGTATACACCCTGCGCTTTGCGCCGCACTTTTTGCACAGTCTGCATCACCTGATACAGGACCTGAACGTGGTGCAGCAGACCATCGTTCGCCAGCAAACGGCCAGGTCGGCGTCACTTGGTCGGAATGTGAGTGCCGCTCAGTTGGAGAATGCTCGCAGCTGGAGCAGCAAGGATCTAGCCACCAGTACGGATCAATACAGCAGCCTCAATGGAGGAGTTAATAGCGGAAGCAGTGGCAGCGGTTCCAGCAAGTCAACTCATCAGTCGGTAACCGAAAAATTACATGAACTGTATAACAACCTGCACGGCAATGAGATGGCTGACTCCACGGAGCCCTATCATGCCGATACGCTGCTGCATGCCATCCAGGATGTGAATGCCACTTTTGAAGGCAACCAGCAGCAGGATGCTCATGAGTTTCTTATGTGCGTGCTTAACTGCATCCGCGAAACTAATCAGTCGCTGATCAAGGCCATCGGCGAATGCCCCGAAGTCATTGCCAATGGGTAAGTTATCTATACGAGAATATTTTGAATTAAATTTAATATGTTTTCCTTATATTTTTAGCTATATAGCTAACCCAGATGAAGTCGATACCGGTGAGTCCCAGGATCGCACAGATTCCGCTGCGTCACAAAACCTGAGCTCCGGAAATGGATCGCTGGCAACTAGTCAAATAACCACGACTAAAACGTCGTTTTTCTCCCGCAAATCAAAAAGAAAAGACGAGGTCAAGTCATCAAAGTCGACGCGCGTTCAGTCGCCGCTCAAGGACAATAGTCCCACGGCGGGCGGGATAAGCGGAGCGGGCACTGCCCACGCCACCGCCAACAGCCTGTTCTATCTAAACACAGTTGATCTCAGTGGTGGCAGTGCCAGCGGAAGTGGAAGTGGCACTGGCAGCAGCGCTGTTCCCACAAGTGTTGCATTGCCGACATTACCAGCACCACAGACCACAAAGTGCTCCAGCGATGACGAAACGAATTCGGCCACCATGCTGAAAGACAAAATGCGTCTGGAGGAGCGAATACGCGAGTTGAACCTGAATTTCTTCAGTTCCGACTTCGAGGGCATTGTGGTGCTGACAACAAAGTGCCTCAGCTGTGAGACGATCACGAGGCAAAAGCAGGGCATGCTCGATATTTCTGTGCCTGTTCCCATTTCAGGATATGACAATTCCGATCTCCAGGACAAACCTAGCACCTATATTCAGGTGAGTGAGCTAAATAAAAGCACAGAACGTATTTCTTAATAATATCGATCTTTCAGAATTCGTGTATCACGAAGGAGTATTTTCGCGGGGAGAACAAGTACAGCTGTAACCAGTGCACGGGCTACACCGAGGCCATAAGGTCCATCTCGTACGAGGTGCTGCCCCGCCTACTGGTCATTCAGCTGAACCGCTTTTCAGGTGGCATGGAGAAGGTGAGTACGTACGTGCCCACTACCTTCACTCTGCCCTGCTTTTGCGCCACCTGTTGTGAGCTGGGCGAAGGCAACAAGCTCCACGTTTATAAGCTGTACAGCGTGATCACCCATGTCGGAGCCACTCTGACTGTTGGCCACTACATCGCCTATACGTGCTTCTTGGATCTGGCCAGTGACTATGTTAATTGTCCGAAGGATAGAAGAAATACAATGACGGGCTCGCAAACGATGTCTTCGCAAGCGGTGTCCTCCAATGAAAACACAGCTCCAAGCAATGGAAGCAGCTCCGTGGCCAGTACCCCAGTGATTGCAGCAGCCTCGGCATTGGCCTCCTCAGGTAACATTTTGATGAAGAAGATGAAGTTCGGGCGCAGTAAGGCCTCCAGCAGTGGTGATATGAGCAAGAATGTTAAGCAGGTGAATGGGACCAGCAGCAAGAACATCACCAATGGAATCGGAAAACTGAGCATGAACACCACTTGTCAGGGGGTCAACTGCTGTGCCATGCGTCTCTGTTGTAACCAGCAGACGAGCAGCAGCAATTCGGCCAGTTGCAGCGATTTTAGCGAGGAATCCCTGCAAAATGGAAGCAACAGCAATCTCAGTTTTGGTGCACCGGGCACTACATATCCGACGGGTTACGGTAGCACGGGACGCGGAGGTGTCAGAGCCAACTACGCCCACGGAGGCACAGATCCCATTTGGTACATGTGCGACGATGATAAGATCAAAGCCATGACCCAAAGGGAGTTTGAGGAGCTTCTATCACCCACTCGAAAGATTACAATAACGCCCTACTTGCTCTTCTACGCACGATTCGATCTTCAGCCGCAAAAGGCCACTCCGCCAAAGCCAGGAACATCCTCAACGCCTCCACCAGCATCGACAGCCCAGAGCTCTTGGGCGAACGACAACGTGGCCAGCGGATCGCACAAGATATGAGGCAGTGTCGTATCCCAGAAATCCAGTGGAAAGTAGGAAAAGTGAATGTGGATTGACATCGGCATACTGATCAGATTGGAGATGTCTCTAGCCTAGAATAATAAGCAAAAGAAGAAGTCTGTTTGTTAAACAATGTAATCGTACTAAGCTCTATCGTTTATCTACATGCATAACTATTCATTAACTAACCAGTGGTTTGACTGAGGCCTCAATTCCAAATGCCCCAAGGCTCCCTCTCCCCATATCCGAAGATCATATAACTATTGTTTTTACTAGTAGCAATCAGTTCATTCTGTTCAATCGATGCATTTGATTTAGCATTATATTATAGTATTCTTATCGTTATTAAATAAACATACCGAACGCGTCACATTGAGAACACGAATTTAAAACGTTGAGATTGTTTGCTCCATTGAATGTAACTGACATTCGGAAAACGTTTTCGATATACTCGTACATAAATTAAAAGCGAAAGCAATAAAATTACAAAATCTTTGATTCAAAATAGTGCATGGCAGAACAGGCGAGTGTTGTAATAATAGTAATTATTATTAATAGTAATGAATAATCTCCAATATTCTCATAGGACATACGATACCCAGTTGCATTGGCAGCACGGGGTTGACATTTGGGTCTAGCAGACGATGAAATCTGTAATAATTACAGCATCCGATATACATATAGTAACTGGAATGGTTTATTGTAAACAATGAGCTATACCTACCCATGCAAACACAAATATATACGAAGTGTTGAATAGTTGTTAAACTCATGGCACACCTCAAAAGTGAAATATAGACGATTGAATCGAAAGTGACGGACAGGCAGGCATAGATCAAGCGAACAACTGAGAATTGTTATGAATTTGATTGCATAGTTTATAAAAGCGTTTTCATATGACAAGCTGCAGCAGAACTTCATACACAACACACTCACACACACACACGATTGTAATGTAATATTGATAAATAATTGTAATAAAATTATAATATCTGTAATAATTGTAATAGCACACAACTTACGCAATATGTTTAGTGGATTATCCTTAGTTTCCTTTCTCCACGCATAACATGACTCTAGTTTAGTTCAGTTTAATTTTTTTCAAGAGCGCTGCTATAGTGATATTAACATTTACAGAGCAAAGATTCGTGTACATTGTAATGTGTAAAGTTTACATTTAACCATTTAGTATAACACTAACACTGAGCAACGTAAGGAATCGATTCAGCTGTTTTATGAAACTCATAAGTTTGATTACGGAGCGGCTTGGTCAAAGTGAGAACCGTTTGATTCCAATTATATTTATGTTTATTATTGATTAGCATTATAGAACATGCTTAACTAAATATACGATATATACAACTTACATATAAACAAAATAGTCTACTTTTAATTATAGAGCTCATCCGGTCCAGTCATTTCCAGCTGGAAATAAAACTAGGACGGAACACCGTTTCTGATTTTGGCTGTCCTTACTAAAAACTTTCAAATATGGTCCACGTTGTCCATAAAGTTATTTTTGGCCAACGAAAACCACAAGCAACCTAGAGCCTTTAAAAGAATTCCCAATCCTCATTAGAACCGTAAACTGAAAAATGGGCACTCGTTGGGTCTGCCTTCAGCGTCACTATCACCAGCATCACAATTCCCTTTAAAATGAATCATCCTAAGCTAACCTCATGCCAAGAATTAAAGACGATTTCAAAACGTTTCTAAAAATTTTGTTAATGAAAATGTACCTTATCTTCTTGTACTGGTTTTGAACTTATGAACTTCGGTACTTGTAGTTCTAGGAAAGATTACAAAATAATCGGAACGATTGAAGCATATGACGTAATAATAGCTAGCATATATTTGCTTATACATTTTTGTTCCGCTTCCTCTTTGTTTTACCAGAACAGCGATTATTACCGGATACTTACCAAAATTGACAATAAATATATCTAAATTGGGTCTTATTCTTTTCACTTATTTATTACTATTAATTTGTATTTATTGAAGTAACAGAACCTATACTTAGCAGAATAGAGATTGAAGACTGAAAGCGAAAAGTTCAATTTTAAAGCACAGATTTTATGACTTAATCATGAGAATTACGTGGCGTATGGGTAATTTTGAATTTAGTTAAAGTTGAAAACAATTAGACGAACTCATTTTAAGGATACCAATGGGTATCAGTTTCAAGAAAACTCTTATTTAGAGACTAAAAACCTTTGAATGGCTCGGGTGAATTGATGATAGTTTCGCTCCTTCCACTGAACGTTGGTTAAGATTTGCTCCAACGTTTGGTCGATCGCCTGATCTAAATCCTTGAGTTGTTCCTTTGAATTGGAGATAAAGGTTTTGAACTCGTTGTAGTCTTTGCGGGAAAAGATCTGTTCGGATAGGGGCTTCATAATGTCGGACATTGCCTCGAACTGAGGATGGAAGCTGAAAAGCAAAGATTCCTTAATAAAAGCTGTCTTATGATTAGGAGAATCAATGTCAATAAACATACAACTTTGAGATTGAGTCCACATTGTCCATTAAGTACTTCTTGGCCAGCAAAAAGCCTACATCATTGGCGGCAATTGACTGGAAAACAGAGACCGAATCTTGCTTGCGGATCTCCCCATTTGGGACGAAGATTCTTTCCAGATAGCGCTGCACCAGCCACACCTCCTTCGAGCAAGCCAGGGCGTTAAGAATGGTCTCCTTTTCAGAAGCCACGTTTGCCATCTCGTACCTTGTCCATAGGAACTCCCAGTCCTCGTCACTTCCATGCTCGATAGAAGTGCAGTACACATTGCCACGCACCCCAAGTGGCACCGGGTTATTCTCGTCGGGATTGGCTTCCGCTCGCCAGCTGCGGAAGTAGGACAACGCCTGATCTACGCAATCGGATACCTGGTATGAGCACGCCCAACTCGCCACCATTCCCTTCAGAGTGACCTTATCCTTTTGTTGGATCGTGGAATACGTATCGTTGATGCCGTTCAAGTGCTCATATATCGGGGTGATCAGTTTCTTCATATAGCTCTGTGGGAAAAGGATTGCATTAAGAGGAAAATACATTTTTTGTAACAGTTACCTTAAAATACATATAGTTCGGCAGCTTTCGGAAAAAGTCACTAACAGTCATAAGACTGTTGAAAGCCGATTTCCAAGGAAGAAGCTCTCGCTCTCTCTGCAGATAATTGATCACTCCCAAGGCGATCTCGTAGTCCTGTTCTCCTGTCCAGGCGAAGTACAAAACATCATCGATAAGCTGAGCCCTGTTGACCACGTCGATGGTCTGGTACTCTTCGCTGTTCAATGTGTCGATCAGAAGCTTCCAGTTCCGAGCATCGTAGTTTACCTTATACGGCGATGACAACTGGTTGTTAAAGATTACCCACTGATCGGGTCCTGGAAGGTCGCTAATCGTTTTCGGGAGACTGTCCCCATTCTTATCGCATTCCAACCACGCCTTGGGTGCCGTGTTGTTGAAGTCCTTCTTCTCTTGACTGGTATAGCTTAGTGGCACCCACCAGCATTCACGACGGTGTTCCCTAGATATATCGGTATTCAGGTGGTAGCGTTCCTGGCTAAGCTTCGCAGTCCTTGCCGTGTAGTTTCGTGTCACGTTGACCATGGGATATCTATGCATAAGATGGACAGATTAATATATAGATAGGAACACTGGCTAATGAAAAACCTAAGCTCACCCCGTTTGCAGAGTCCACGAGTCCATAATTGTCTTGAGGTCGTAGTTCTTAGGCAGGGAACCAGCTTTATGAGCCGCCAGAGTTAGGGATTCCCAAAGATTGTCCTGTTCGGCGTTCTTATAAGCGTACTTTTCTAGATACGATTTCAGGCCAGAGCGGAATGACTCTTCACCCAGGAACAAGTGCATCATGCGGATCACTGATGATCCTTTCTCGTAAGAGATCTCATCGAAGCTTTCAGAAATTTCTGAAACCATTTCAATTGGCCTGGATATGGGGTGACTGCTATTAAAGGAGTCCTTTCGAAAAACTGTAAGCAGACTGGACATTGTCGCTTGTTCCATAAAACGCCAGTCCGGTTGAATGTATTCGACACCCAAACCAGCCACATAAGTAGCGAATCCCTCGTTGAGCCAGAGATCAGTCCACCAATTCATGGTGACCAGATTACCGAACCACTGGTGGGCCAACTCATGGGCCACCGTGCTCGCAATATCCTTCTCATTTTCCTGCGACGTGTACTCTTTGGAGTACAATAGTGAACTCTCCGAGTACGCCACCAGGCCCCAGTTCTCCATGGCACCGGCATTGAAATCTGGAATAGCGATCTGATCGACTTTCGGGAGCGGAAACTTTAAGCCGAACAGCTGCTCGTAATACTTGAGTACTTTTGGTCCAAACTCTGCGGCATAATCACATTGATCGATGGCATTGGGTCTTGCCCAGGTGCGAAAAAGGGGGCCTGTTAGCAGAGTCGAAGACTTGTGAGTGAAATCGTTAACGGTATAAGCCACCAGGTAGGTGGACATGGGCACAGACTCTTCAAATTCAGACCATACGTAATCAGGGAGAGATTCACTGCAAGGAATTAATATTTGTGAGATGGTTAAATAAGTTATTAGCGGATATTTACTGTGGCTTAGTTGCCTTTGCTGGCATATTGCTGAGACCTGTGAACTTGTTGTGGTAGCCCAAGGTGATGTCGAAGACTGCCTTATAGCCAGGTTCATCGAAGCAGGGAAAGGCCATTCGAGCGTAGGCTGGTTCAAATTGTGTAATAGTGATCCATCTGCAAAAAATATATCCTTAAATATCTTTTCGTCTCCTTATCATCTCGTTACCCACCTCGTCTCATTGCTCACTGGATCTACATATGAGCTTCGGTAATAACCCACCAGTTGATCCTGTAACTCGGCTGAAAAGGGCAGCTCCAACTCATAGGCATGGCCGGCCACTAATTCTTGACAGGTGTGGAGAATATAGAAGTCGTGGTTGGGATTAACCTCAGTGGAAGACACGCAGTTGTCCTTCAACCCTTCACCACTAACTTGGCGAAGAGTGATCTGAGCCTCATCTATCTCCAGATCCTTCGAGTGAAGGGTTATGTTCTTCGTATTCTGCAATGCTTCTAGTTTGATTTTCACAGTTCCGTTGAAACTGAGATTCCCTTCATCTTCCAGTCGTGTCAGGATGCGCAAGTCGTACTTCTGGGGTCGCAGAGCCGTCGGCAAACGGAAGTAGTCGTAGACAGAATCAGCCGTTCGAAAACGCAGACTAAGTGCCACCAATAGTAACAGAACCCACTTCATGTTCAGATCTAATATGACAAAATGAATGAAATTGATTATCAGAATTAAGTGGTTTCTACTCTTAACTCTCTTTAAGAGAGAGCGAAGTTTTATGAGATGGCAAACTAACTAACTAGACTAACAAACTAACTAATAGAAATAAAAGTTGCTTCCCTTCCGAAACAAAAAATGTTCATGTTGATTTACGAAACTGTTATCAAAACTATAAAGCCACTGAGCTGAAGATCTTTTGAAATTAAAAAAGCGTGATTAAACTATAAATAATTAAAGCTTGGACTACAACAAGCGGATTTAAATTATTTTTTTAATAACTGCTTCATTAATGTGATGAATAACATGATTATCATCATAAATAGAATGAAATTATAATGACGGCAAACACTTAACGACAATAAAAAAAACTTGTTACTTAGCTCGGGTATTAACAAACTAATTATTTTTTAGGTTCTATGTATTTTTCATTTTGTGGGATCTTCAAACTAGTACCAGTTTACTAGGACTGGTTTCTACTTACACCTCTTAACACTACGGAGGGCAAACACCGAATGCCAGACTTCTGATGAGCTCGAACGGATCAAAAAGGTTTTTGAGCTTTTTGAGTTGAGAGAGGCGAACCGTATAGAGATTGACTCACAGTTTTCTGAGATTCTTTATAGCTCAGCGACTTGCCTTCGATGAAATAAATCATTCCAAGCTTATGTACAATCTTGTGTTTGGTACTCAGAAAAATATGTTTTATTAGAAGATGATTAATTGGGTTTTTCAATATATGTATTTATTTATTTAATACTAAAAAGAAAATGTATATAACATTGGAAATGGAAAAGCCATAAAGGATATTCAAATTCTTACATGAATTGGTTGATGGAAAGGGTCACCGATGCTCATTGGAAAGAACTCATTATTGGATTGCTTATCTAATGCCGAATATTTTCGTTTAATTATTCTTTTCATTTAAATAAACGTCTAAAAACTTTCTCTTCTCCTCGGTTTATAGACACAGTAGAAAATAGTTCAAGAAATTCAACTTGATTTACATCCAAGGACTTAAGTTTTGGCCCCATATTTCCATGTTAAAGCTACCCGCCACTCAGGAAGACATCTGCTTGATTTGAGATCTACCAGTCAGTATTAAGTTGTTTATTTAAGGAACTTAAGTTTCTCATAATTCGTATACCTAATGTAAAAAAATGAACAACTGAATCCTCTATACATGCTGCTGGATGATGTGAGAGACCTGGTGATAGTTTCGGTCCATCCACTGGACATTGGTGAGCATTATCTCCAGGTTCTGTTTCATTGCCTGTTGAATCCCCTTCAGATACTGTCGAGAGTTATTGGCGAAGGCCCTGAAGGCATTCAGGTCACTCCTTCTGATAACTTGCTCGGAAATCGCCGACAAAAGGCGAGACATACTCCTGGTCTGTGGATAGTAGCTGAAAGATGAACATTATCTTAAACTCTTTATCTTTCGATTCAAAGAAAAACTGAACTTACTATTTGTGGATAAGTTCCACATTATCTATTAAGTACTTCTTGGCCAGCAGAAAGCCCACTTGTCCGGAGGCAACTGCGTGGAAGCAAAGCGAGGACTCCTGCCTGCGAATGTGTCCCTTGGGATTGAAGGCCATCTCTAAATATCGCTGCAAGATCCAAACTTCTCTAGAGCAACCGAGGGTGCCCAAAATCGTCTGCTTCTCGGAGCCCACATTGGAATTCTTGAACCGCGACCATAAGAAGTCCCAATCATCATCAGAGCCGTATCTTATTGCGGCGCAGTAAACAATGGCGCGAAGGTTGATCGGAACCGGATTATTCTCGTCGGGATTGGCCTCGGATCGCCATCTACGGAAATAGGTCTGAGCTTGGGGCACACAATCTTCCACCTGGTATTGGCACGCCCAATTGACAACCATGGTCTTCAGCAGGATCTGATCTTGATGTTGGATCGAGCTGAAAGTGTCGTTCATGCCGCCCAAATCGTTGTAGATTGGCGTAAGGATCTTTGCTATGAAGCGCTGGAAAAAAACAATTACATAAGAAAGCTACAAAAATGCAGAAAGCTTACTTTGAAGAACCCAAAGCTGGGAGTTTGCCGAAGAATGCGATTTAACAATTTAAGATTGTTGAAGGCAGACTTCCAAGGAAGAAGATCTCGCTCCCTTTCCAGATATTCGGTCACTTGGAGTGCGGTCTCGTAGTCCTGTTCCCCTGTCCAAGCGAAGAACAGGACATCATCCAAGATTTGGGCTCTATTGATCACATGAATGCTCTCAAACTTATCGCTGTTCAAAGTCTCGATCAACAGTTTCCAGTTCTGGCCATCGTAGTTGACTTTGAATGGTGCCGCAAGCTGATTATTGAATATCACCCACTGATCGCATCCAGGCAGATCCTGAATAGTCACGGGAATACTTTCGCCTGTCCTGCTGCACTCCATCCAAGCCTTTGGCATCGTTTGGTTAAAATCATTCTCCGACTGGGTGGTATAGCTCAGTGGCAACCACCAACATTCAGCCCGTTGTGCTCGGGGTATCTGGGTATTATACAGATAACGTTCCTGACTGAGTCTTGCAGTTCCTGCCGCATAATCTCGGCTCACATTGACCATGGGATAGCTAGAGATATATCGTTTAGGGAAATGTCAGTAGAACTTTCATATAAACTTACCCAGTTTGCAGAGTCCACGAGTCCATGATTGTCTTGATTTCGTAGTTCTTGGGCAGGGCGCCATCTTGATGGGCAGCTTGGGTGAGGGACTCCCAGAGATTGTCCTGTTCGGCGTTTTTATAGGCGTACAATTCAAGGTACGACTTCAGTCCAGAGCGAAAGGACTCTTCGCCCAAAAACAAATGCATCATCCGCAGCACGGAAGATCCCTTCTGATAGGAGATTGCATCGAAACTTTCCTCGATATCCGTCGCCATTTGAATGGGCCTCGATATGGGGTGGCTGCTCACCAAAGCATCCATACGGAACGAGGCTAGCAGAGCGGATAGAGATCCTCTGTCCTTTGATTGCCATTCGGGATGGACGTTGTCCACACCGAGGCCAGCTACATAGGTGGCAAATCCCTCGTTTAGCCAGAGGTCTGTCCACCACTTCATAGTCACCAGGTTACCGAACCACTGGTGGGCCAGCTCATGAGCTATTACTTCCGCAAGGTCCTGTTTGTCCGCCAGAGAAGAACGAGTTGGCGAGAAGAGAAGTGTAGACTCTCTATATATCACCAGACCCCAGTTCTCCATGGCACCGGCAGCAAAATCGGGAACAGCCAACTGGTCGATCTTGGGCAGCGGGAACTTGGTGCCGAAAAACTGTTCATAGTACTGGAGTACTTTCGGCCCAAACTCTGCTGCAAAATCGCACTGATCGATGGCATTTGGTCTGGCCCAAGTCCGGAAGTGAGCCCCATTGGGCAAAGTGGAAGGCTTGTGGGAGAAATCGTTTACGGAGTAGGCAACCAGGTAGGTTGACATGGGCACCGACTCTTGGAATTCACACCATATGTAGTTGGGCAGGGATTCACTGCAAGGAGGGAGTTCATTACTTGTATTATTGTTAAGTACTTAAGCGAGGAAGGCATACTGGGGCCTGGTTTCCTTCACGGGCATGTTGCTGAGACCGGTGAGCTCCTTGTGATGACCCAAAGTGATCACGAAGGATGCCTTGTAGCCTGGCTCATCGTAGCAGGGAAAGGCCTTTCGAGCCGAAGTCGGTTCAAATTGAGTAGCAGACAACCAACTACAAGGAGAGTTAGACTATTAGTTTTAACCAGGACTGTAGATCAGAACTCACTGTGTAACGTTGGTCTCTGGATCCTTGTAGGAGCTACGATAGTAGCCAAATAGATCTCGACTTAGGTTGCCAGAGAATGGCAAGCTCAGTTTGTATACATTGCCGGCCAAAAGTTCGTCACAAGTGTTAAGGATATAGAAATCGTGGACAGGGTTAACCGATGTGGAGGATACACAGTTACTCTTCTTCCCATCTCCGCTAATTTGACGAAGAGTTATCCGAGATTCATCGATGTTCAGAGCCTTCGAGTGCAGCGTTATGTTCCTGGTGTTTTCCAGGGCTTCGATTATAATTTTCACAGTCCCGGCAAAGCGAAGTTCATTCGGATTTTCCAGCAGTGTCAGAATACGCAAGTAATACTTTTGGGGCCTCAGGGCCGTCGGCAGTCGATAGTAGTTGTAACTGGTAACTGAGTTGGCCGCGGATAATCCTAGGCCGATTGCCAGCACAAACAACAGAAAGCACTTCATAACCAAAACTGAGGGGAATAATGAGAAACATTTGTAGTTCGAGAATGATGATGGTTCGGTGAACTTTAATTAGTATAGCTCAGGTGTGAAAAGTGTATTTTTTTTAAGAAAGAAAGCAGAAAAATAGTTTCTAATTTACACTTAGTTTCATTTTTCACTGCTGTGGCTTATCGAAAAGCCATTATCGCGAACAGAAATCTGATGAACTCATGAGCTTAAGCTCGATCCGGAATTATATAGTTAATCAGAACTGAGTTAATTGAATTATTTAAATGTAAACAAAAACATCTTAATTACGACACTTTGATTTTATAGTAACCTATAGCCTAACCTGCGGATTACAGCTCCCAGCGAAGCTTACAAAATAGGCGAAATTGACTTTCATTAAGTTTTAGCAATTGCGAGAGCGTAAATAAAACGTGTTCTAAATGTGTATTTTACACTTTGAAACGTGCTTCACCATTTCACGACCTATATATATATATATATATGAAAAAAAACAAACAAACCGATGGAGTACTAATCTCACCAAAGGCTGGTGACCGAATGCTGGTGCCTCGACGATCGAACGGCGTCTAGTAATCTAAATTTCCAGAGAACTTTATTTAAGAGAGCTTAAAAGGCGAGACTAATTTGGAAAATTGAGAGATTGGCTTTGCGAATGGCGGTGAGAATCAATTAGTACTGTGACTCAAAAGAGGGCTTACCCGACGTATGCGTAATTTTCAAGTACAATTTTTCAAAGTATTTTTGAATGGAAAGTCAGCATTTCTGAAGCAGATAATATCGATTGACCAAGTTGAAACTGATTTAAATGCTTACTTGGATATTCTTACGAATTAGTTTTAGGTAAATTTACTAAAAAAGTTGAGTTCTTCCCCCCTTAACACCTTCATAGCCAACAACATGTTATCTTCCAAGTTAAAAATGAAAAGACCTTCATCTTGAGATACACGAATAATACTAGAGTATTAAATAGTTTATTTAAGAAACTTTAAACATTCATAATATTCCTGCTGAAATCAAGAGATTCTTCCTTGTTGAGCTGATGAGAGACTGGACAGGACTGTTAATCTAGAGAAGCTGCTGGATGGAGCGGGACATCTGGTGGTAGTTTCGCTCCTTCCACTGCACATTGGTGAGCATTATCTCCAGGGTCTGTTGGATGGCCTGCTCCAGGCCCTTGAGCGACTGTCGGGAGTTGTTGACAAAGTCCTTGAACTCATTGAAGTCGCTCAGCGTGATGACCTGCTCAGAAAGCGGTGACAGAAGGCGTGACATGTCCTTGGTAAGGGGATGGTAGCTGAAAGAAGGAGTTATGTCATTAAGGATTTCATCAATTATTAATCAACAAACTTACAATTTGTAGATGAAGTCAACGTTGTCCATGAAGTACTTCTTGGCCAGCAGGAAGCCCACCTCGTTGAAGGCCACCGCTTGGAAGGCCCACATCGAGTCCTGCTTGCGAATGGCCTCCTTGGGGTCAAAGGTCAGCTCCAAATAACGCTGCAGCAGCCACACCTCCCTCGAACAGCCCAGAGCAGTCAGAATGGTCCGCTTCTCGGCCGCCACATTGGACTTCTTGTAACGCGTCCACAGGAACTCCCAATCCGAATCGGATCCATGCCTTATCGACGTGCAGTAGACAGTGCTGCGCACATTGATCGGCACCGGGTTCTTCTCGTCGGGATTGGCCTCCGATCTCCAGTTGCGGTAGTAGGCCAAGGCCTGGGGCACACAATCCGCTACCTGGTATTGGCACGCCCAATTGACCACCATGGTCTTCAAGAGGACCTGATCCTGCTGCTGAATCGAACTGAAGGTGTCGTTGATGCCGTTCAGATGCTCATAGATCGGCAGGATTAGCTTCTTCATGTAGCGCTGAATAATGGGTTTAAGTTGGGAAATATAATAAGTAAAGTTATGATAACTACTCAGGGGGAATCCAATTCAAGATCGTATACCCGACACTCATCTCGCATTCTTCTTAAACATTCAGTGTAGAGTATTTTAAGCTAGAAAGGATACTTCTTTTGTCAAGTCTGCTTAAACTTCTGAAAGTGGCGGGTATTTTAAAGTCGAACTGTCCGACCAAGTCATTCTTACTTGTTCTTACGACACTCTCAGACTTACGACAAAGAACAACTTTTCGTTGGTCGCCCACGGCAAGTGTAGTGGGCGGATGAATGGAGTTTAGGTGTGAGCAATTTTGAAAGGTTCGTTTCGAAATACAAATGAGAATGAGGTTACACCGAGGAGCAGGTTGTTGGTGGTCATTGAGCTGCACTATCTAGGATCTCTAGAACCTACCTTGAAGAACTCGAAGTCAGGGGTCTGTCGAACAATGCGGCCCACACGCTTCAGATTCTCAAAGGCCGACTTCCAGGGCAGATACTCCCGCTCCCGCTGCAGATACTCAATCAGTCTCATGGCTATCTCGTAGTCCTGTTCACCGGTCCAGGCCAAGTACAGAGCATCATCGATCAGCTGAGCCCGGTTGATCACATGGATCCTTTCGAAGTCTCCTGTGGTCAAAGTCTCGATCAGCAGCTTCCAGTTCTGGGCATCGTAGTTGACCTTGTACAACGTCGAAAGCTGGGTATTGAAGATAACCCACTGATCGGCTCCTGGCAGATCCTGGATGGTCTTGGGTAGACTCTCGCCATTCTTGCCACACTCCATCCAAGCCTTGGGCGTAGTGTTATTAAAGTCCTGCACTGCCTGGGTGGTGTAGCTCAACGGCACCCACCAGCAGCCACCGCGATGAGCCCGAGATATCTGGGTATTCAGAAGGTAGCGTTCCTGGCTAAGTTTCGCTGTCCTGGCAGAGTAATCTCGGGTAACGTTGATCACAGGATAGCTGGAAATAGCAAGATGTTTAGTGCTTACTTTCAGCCTCCAATACTCTTCAAGACCTACCCAGTTTGCAATGTCCACGAGTCCATGATGCTCTTGATGTCATAGCTCTTGGGCAGAGCTCGATATTTGTGAGCTGCTTGGGTGAGCGATTCCCAGAGATTATCCTGCTCGGCATTCTTATAGGAGTATTGCTGCAGGTAGGACTGAAGACCGGAGCGGAAGGACTCCTCGCCCAGGAACAAGTGCATCATGCGCAGGACCGTCGAACCCTTTTGGTAGGAGATCTGATCGAAACTCTCCGAAATCTCGGAAACCATTTGAATGGGTCTGGAGATGGGATGGCTGCTCTCCAAGGCGTCTCGGCGGAAAATGGTCAGCAGGTTGGACAACGACTCCTGCTCCATGGCACGCCATTCCGGATTGATATTCTCGACACCCAAACTTGCCACATAAGTGGCGAATCCCTCGTTGAGCCAAAGATCGGTCCACCACTTCATGGTGACCAGATTTCCAAACCACTGATGGGCCAACTCATGGGCCACCACGCTGGCCACCCGTTGCTTATCCGCCAGCGAGGAATGGGCAGCCGAGTAGAGAAGGGCTATCTCCCTGTAGGTCACCAGGCCCCAGTTCTCCATGGCACCGGCACTGAAATCGGGAACTGCGATCTGGTCGATCTTGGGAAGCGGGAACTTGATGCCGAAGAACTGTTCGTAGTACTGGAGTACTTTGGGCCCAAACTCTGCGGCGTAATCGCACTGATCGATGGCATTTGGTCTTGCCCAGGTCCTGAAGAGGGCACTGTTTGGCAGAGTCGAGGGCTTGTGGGAGAAATCGTTTACGGAGTAGGCAATTAGGTAGGTGGACATTGGTACGGACTCCTGGAACTCGCACCATATGTAGTCGGCAAGGGTTTCACTGAAAGGGAAAAGTTGTTGTACAAATTGGGGAATATCCTTCTGTATTTTCTTAATATATATTCCTTACTGTGGCTTGGTTTCCTTCACGGGCATATTGCTAAGTCCGGTGTACTTCTTATGGTAGCCCAAAGTAACGACGAAGGGAGCCTTGAAGTCGGGCTCATCGAAGCAGGGGAAGGCTAACCGAGCCGATGCTGGTTCGAACTGGGTAACGGAGATCCATCTGAAAGAAGAGAAATCCCCATCAATTGCCTTTCCTTGTTACTTCCCAATGTCTCTAAAGACCCACTTGGTTGTATTGGCCACAGGATCCTTGTAGGAGCTTCGGTAATAACCCTCTAGCTGTCGATTCAAGTCGGCGGAAAATGGCATATACAGCTCGTAGAAATTGCCGGCCAACAGTTCCTGACAGGTGTTGAGGATGTAGAAGTCATGGGTGGGATTCACCGCAGTGGAAGACACGCAGTTGTCCTTCTTGCCCTCTCCACCGACCTGGCTAAGAGTGATCTGAGACTCATCGATGGTCAGATTTTTCGAGTGCAGGGTTATGTTCTTTGTGTTTTCCAAGGCCTCAATCAGTATCTTAACAGAGCCGGAAAAGCGCAGGTCCTCTGGATTTTCCAGCAGCGTGAGAATGCGGAGATGGTACTTCTGTGGGCGCAGCGAGGTGGGCAGGCGGTAGTAGTTGTAGGTGGAGTCGGAGTCGGCGGTGGCTAGGCCCAGGCCAACGGCCACCACGAACAGCAGAAACCACTTCATGACCGATTCTGCGGAGGAGAGGAAAAACCATTGTTAGCGGGGCGTTCGAGCAGAGCAAGCTGAAGCAATTAACTAAATCACTTTGGTAAATCGTTAACAGTGGATATAGCCTAACGCAAAATCATAATTTAATTAAATAAGTTACTAATTGCTGGCCTTTTAGTAAACTTTGCATTAAATTTACAACTTTCTCTCTCCCAGACAATAATTAACAATTTATTTTTTGTTAAACAAAACAGAAAATCAATTATAAAGACAACAATGGGCGTGTGCGATGGTCGACCGATGTCTACTGTATAAATCAAAGCGCACTTTTTGCTGTTTATGCGGCTTCGCTGATTTACTTCAAATTAATGCAAATTGTTTTATTTATTATGTTTTCTTTGGCAGTGTTTTTTTTTTCGGCTCGTTATGCCGCTCACGTATTAAGGTCTGGGCCAATGAAACCCGATTGAGACTCTTCTCGCAAACGCAATCGAAATCATTATGCGCCGGCTACCTGACTTAGTTTGTTATACCCTTGCCAGGGGTACTAAAAATAATCGCAGAATTCATAGTCGATCAGCTGATGGGAGGAAGAAATATTGTCCCGTTGCTCGTTAAAGTAACTCATCTGTTAGTTAACATTTAGTACTAGGAAATATTATTTAATAGCAGGGCTTTGACAGCCAAAGTGAGTTTATTACAGCTGTCAACTTTGTTCCCACGCCCTAAGCTCTTTTTTTACGACTTCTCGTTCTATTTGTTTTAACTTTTTTATTTTCAAACTGTAAGTAGTACTTAAATCATCCAACTAAAGTTCCTTAAAAGAGCAGCTTAGATTAAACTCTCTAAGAACATCTTGAGAAAATGAGCAAGAAAACTGCAAGCTTTTTCTTTAACACTGCCCAAACCAGATTGCAATGGCTAGTTAAGTTTCTCAGTGCTTCTCTTTATTTCCCCTTTAATTTTATGCAAAAGTTGTTCTTTTCGGTGCGGCTTTCTGGTTCTTTGGTTGCATATAAATAAATGTTAATGCGGGTGCGGCCAATGAACTTCAGAAATAATCATATATGTATCTAGGTATGATAGCCGAATATTGATTGGGCCAAAACAGAAAAAGCTACTCCTAGAAAAATGAGAAAGTTATCATTGAATTTCTTTTTAAGATCACTGCCCCAATATTCCTAATGAAGATTGAAATCAGGAAGTAAATTTCCTTATTGAAAAACAATAAAATTGCTCACTTGAAAGTGAATTTATTAAAATAAATAACTTGTTATGAGCTCTCACAAATATCAAGCACGTGCTGCTGTGACATTGACCTATCAATTGATCCCTTCGAAGTTAACTTGCCATATAGCATATACTAAGTTAATGACCTTGAAAGGAAATGCGAATTTCTAATATATGTATAATTTAAGCCATGCCATAATGTATTTAATATTCGGAAGTGGAATCTTTTTAATGCGACACCCACTGTTTATTTGTTTTCTCGCTTATCAATGTGAAAGCCAGCTTTTTGATAGCCTGTATCACTGATTTAAGGAGTATTTTTAACCCAGAAGGTTGCTTGTTTTTCCAAATGATAATTTTTGCATTTAAAATGAGAGAAGTTTTGCCTTAATTTTGATTCGCCTTGCCGAGTGGTAATTTATGGTGCACAGTTCAGCACTTGAAACTTGTTTTCTCTTAATTTTGGTTGTTTTTTATTTTGATTTCAGTTTTTGTTTTTGCGTTCTTAACACACTTAACACACGCTTCGTGTTTCGAATGCGTTGTTTCGTGTCTCGTAATTTCGAGATTTTGGCGCTGTTTGTTTTTGATTCTTTTCAAGCCGCACTCTCGAGGTGCTTGTCACACAAAGATTCTGAAGACCAACCGTTTGTAGAGCTAGAAAATCAGGAAAATCCGAAAAACGCACACACCGGAGTAGAAGGACGAGTAGCGAATGCGACCTGTTCGACGGTCGACGGTCGACGCGAATCTAAAGTTTACTGAGCGCGAGGCTTTTATCTTATAGCCCGTGGTTACACCGCTCACCCATACAGGCGGAGGAAAAACCGGAGAGCATCGAAACGTCGACGGCTTAGAGAATGAATCGCTGCTTTGGCGTCGGCGCAGAGAATCCGAGATTCTTACTTTGTTTTTTATCATAGAGCATAGAGCATGTGTAAAGGAAAGGGAGGCATGGCATGGTAAATACTAAAACGAAAAAGGAAAAAAGAAAATAGCATATGTATGACCCACACAGCGGGAGATTTTGCAATGAAATAATAGCAGGGCTTACCCGGCGTATGCGCAATTTTGATTCACATCGCACTGTCACACACACAGACGCACATATGCACATAGTCACTACGTGTTTTTGACCTTAATTGCGCTGATTAACCCATTTCTTTCTATTTCGTATGCCAGTGGCACTTCAGGCACTCGACCCTAGAGTTCACTCAGCCATCCCACCGCACCCCCACTTTGAGGCAACCCCCCATGGCGGAAGCTTCGAAGATAAGAGGACTCGAAAAGTGGCAAAAACAAACCAAAACAAACCAAGTGCAGACAATCGGACAGCATGAAGGCTAACAGGAGGGGGTCTTTGGGCGTTAACCCTTTAAGTTCAGCTTACTATAAAGTTCCTATTTGGCTTTTCAGTCTCCTTAATAATACCTTTGATTAACTTTATAAATGAAAAAATTAAGATGACTAAGTTATGGTGAGAACTTAGTGGGTTAAATTGGCAAGGAGATTAGTCTGCAGCTCTGAATGGACGGCAACCACATTTGGCTTATATCCACATTTTTTTATTTGGGAGATTAATGATCCGATAGTTTTAAGGAGAGGCAGAGAAAGCCAACTGGGTGTGGACGAGAATCAGGGCTAGGTGGGTCGAAATACAAAATAATCAGCTTATGGCTAGCAGATTAAAAAGTGTAGGAAAGAAAGATTAAAGAACTCAGGTTAATACATTTTTGTGAAATTTTCTATATGAAGAAGAGATATCTTTACGAATAATTTAAGAGCTAAAACTTAAGGCTGAATGTGTTTACTAGCTAGTTAAGGTAGTTAAATGTAAAAACAAAATTATTTAAATTTTGTAATTTATTTTCAAAAATATATCACGAGTCCATCTCTAGCTTAAAGTAAGCAAAAGAAACATACAACAGCTTGTATAACAGGTAGGCCAGCCAAAAAACGCATCTGTCATACTCTCTTTTATACATCAACAGCGCCCTCTGTGTTTCGAAAATATGTAGCAGCCGCTTTGCGCGCCAAATTCAAAGTGTTAGTTCTTGGAAAATCAATAGACTCCCAAAATCCCGCCCAGATTGCGCTTTTGCCGCCTTTATCAGATAGAAATGCCAATGAATTCAGTTGTTTTTAGTCGTGTATTAAGTATATTTAAAATTGATGGTCTTTGTTCAATAATATTGCCTTTTTTGATGCAAAAATAAGCTTTGCTTAAATAATAATCATTACATGGTAAAATATTTGTTTTTCTTATATGCATTTGCCTTTCAAGGAGGCTTTTGTTCGGTTACGGATTACATAAAAATAAACAAATAATAAGCGTAAATTGTACCTAGCAGAAGTTTTTAACTTTCAACTCTTAAATGATAATTCTTAAACATTTAAATGGATGTGGATGTGATTGATGAGCGTGTGTTTGATATTTTTTGTATGATTTTTTTTTTTTAGTTTGTTTTTAGCCTTTTTTCTGCTTATCATCTACAAGTGATTAAGGGGTCTGATTGGGGGATCGGCCTCTTAAATTTAAATGACAGTGTTCCTCCACGTTTTTAGATTATAATGCACATTTTTCGTTTGCTTGTTCGATGGTTACCTTTTAAATTTGAACTAGAGTGCTTAAATAATTGAACTAAAGCCGAATTCATAAAAACAATAATAACTAAATAAAAGCGTTAAATTCCGAAAGAAATTGTCTGATTTGCATGAATGAGAGTGTTGGGTGTGTGTGTCTGCGAGTGCCAGAAACTTAGTCTAGGGATTAACAAATGAAAATCAACAAAAATCAACTTAAAAGCAGCTTGAAATAAATACCCCTATACGTCTATATATATACAATACGATAACACCCAAAATTTAGATAACGAACTGTACGATCGATCCTACAGCATCAGGCGGGAGCGGGACTTCTTGAGTCGCCCGGTGGCACCGCCGAGACCATCACCGTTCCAGGACTTGGACTTGGCTCGGAAATGGCGGTAGGCCTCGTTGTAGGCGGGGTCCAACATGGTGCGGTAGGCATGTGGCTCGCACAGCTCCACATGCGACTCGAAGAACTCCTTGTAGCCGTTGTGCAGCAGATAGATCTCGGGATAGTGCAACGCCGGATAGGCATTGGTGTTCCTCTCCCGATCCAAATTCCTCAGGAAACGGGACATTTTGGGTCCGCGCTCCGACGAGAATTCGCAGTGGAAGATGATAATGTTGCGCTTGAGTCCCGATTCGGCGTTCTGCTGCTGCTGCAGCTCAGTCTGTTGGACGGTGAGGAACTCCTCGAGGATCTGTTCGGTGGTGTACAGATTCTTGGCTCCCTCGATGTGACCGCCCTCGAATTCATAGGGATAACGGCAGTCGATGATCCGGTAGCTGGCCACCTCATCGTTGAATTCACCTTTCAGAAGACGAGCCACTGTTTCGCTGGAGATGCTCTTCAGATCCCGATGACGACCCTCCATCAAGGGCAGGGCATAGGCTTTGCTGAAGTCGCCGATCAACTCGGGCTCGTTGCGGTTCTCGGAGCGGGCCAGGGCAGACATGATCTCGGCATCGTTCAGGGACATGCACTTCCTCAGTGGAGGTGGATGGCTGGTGGTAACCTGGGTGATTTGGGTGGGTGCGGGGCAGTTTTCCTTCTCAACGGTGGTGCAGCGATGACGTTTGCTCTGGATGGGAGAGCAGCTGGCCGATGCTGGTGGTTCCGGACGCTTGAAGCAATCTCGGGCAGTCTCTGGGGTCTTTGGTGGTGGGGTGGTGTTGCTCTCCGTCATGCTGAGGCATCGCCTCACTGAAGGACGGCGCATGGACAGACCCGCTGGCGACTTGGCTGCAGGCTGTTCCTTAATCTGTCCACTGATCAGCGAGTTCAAGCCGCTGGGGAAGCCCAGGGCACTCTGTTGGCTTTGCGACTCCATCTCAAAGAGTTCCATGTACTCATCATCCATGGAGGACTCCATGGAGCAGGTGGAGGACAGGCTGTTGAAGATGCGGAAGCTGCGAGCCGGTGTGTGGGTTGAGACATCGCTCGATCCTCCCATTGCTGGCAGAACCTTTGGCTGACGGATGATCTGGAAACGCTGGGGCGAGCCCTCTGGCGAGAGAAGACCCATCAGTTCCGGACTGGCCGATCGCTGCTGATCCTGGGGCGCAGAGTCGTCGTCATAGAACGACAGCTCCTCCTGGTCCATGCTCATCAGTTCCAAGGAACGGCGAGCACGACGAGATCCACTCATTTTGTTGATGTTACTCGAACTGTTGGTGTTACTAAAAAGAGCAGATAAAGAGAGGGGGAGGATTAGTCAACTGTTCGGAATTGAGAAAGAGAGCTGGTTTCTGCTTCCCTAAACTCTCCAAAGAGCGGGTCATTAAACCCAGCTAAAAATACTGACAAAGTGGTGGTGGTGGTGGCGGCGTTGGTGGTGTAAAAACAACAAAAATACCCGAAAATGAAACACAGAGGGGTTGTGTTGTAAATGGGTGAGAGAGATCTAAACTAGGCATTTCACTAGAATTGTTTTCAATTGAATTTTGGAAATGTTACTTGAAAAACTGAAGTTTTAGAAGTGCAGTAAAAAAAATTATAAACCAATTTTAATATAAGCCTTTTTCTTCTTGATGCTCAGTAACATTTGCGGTACTCCAAACGGAATTCCCTTTTGCTTTTCGTTGCATCTGCTTTTCAGCTTGACTTTTGGGTCACACGTCACGCAAGCGCAGCGATAATAAAAAAACGGCACAAAGAACCGCAAAGAACACGGGGGAAAAATACGAAAAAATGACAGACTGACGGGGCTTTTTGTTGCTTTTTTTGGGGGGGCCTCGCGGAAGCCGGTTTAATGAATGAAAAACGGCAAGCGAACAACAACAGCTGAGCGCCAAAAAAAATCGGGCAAAAAGTAATCGTGCCGAGCGTGATAAAAAAAACTCTTACTTTTGTTGGCCCGATCTTTTTTCTTTTTTCTGCTTTTTGCTTTTGCTGTTGTTCTTGAACTTGCACTTTTCATGTTGTATTTTTAACTGGTATTCCTGGTGCAAAATAGTTTTGCTAATCCTTGGGCGGTATAATTACCTGATATTGCAATCCATGCTGCAGTTGTTTTCCTCCACAATGGTTTCCCACAGCATTTTGTTGGTTTTTTGTGTTGGGTGTTTCGAAAAACTGAAGATTTTTGATTTCGTTGGCGAGTTTTTTGTTGTAGCCGAAAAATTGCTAAAACACAATTTTTTCTTGGTCACTCTTCACTCATTTACAGTTGTTGGTTTCGATCAGAATTTTTGGATGGTTGACGGTAGTCCTTGTTTTTGGCTAATATTGCATTTTAGTTAACGTTTTGTTTTGTTTTTTTTTTTTAATAATGTGTCCGTTTAAGCATGATTTTCTTTTGATGTTTGTGGTTGTGCGAGGGTTTTTTTGTTAATAATTTTAACCGCACAATCTCAAGCCACCGAACGAGAAACCGGAAGGCAGAACAAGAAGAGCTGTTGACTTGACGACGAATGGAGAACGAATGTGCTGTTCCTCTCCGAGCAGCTGGTTTTTATAACTGCACCCCGGTCGAGGATCGCGAGAGAGCGAACGGGAGAGACCGCTGCACAGCTGATGCACAAGAGAGAGAGGGCGCCTTTTTCTTAGTTGTTGGTTGTTGGTTCTTAGTTTTTAGTTCCTTTCCTTTCCTTTGATTCTTTGATTCCAGTCCCAAAAAATAGAAGTGGGAAGAAGACGGGGAGAAACCAGCACATAACGGCGCGTAAGACCAAAACCCATGTGCAAAGGGAAATGTATATGTACAGTGAGAGGGAAAATCGGAAAATCAGGAGCATATGGATTCGGTTTTTGGCAGCTCTGCCTTTTTGGAGCGTTCTCTGCAACAGGTAGAGCTCAAATCCAAATCCAAATCCTTTCCCCTACATTTCCCCTTTCCATTCCTTCCTTGCAAAGAAATCCCAAGAAATGAGATGAAACAGGCGCCGTGGTGGTCGCCAGCTCTATGGAGGCCGTTGATTTTGGCGCGCGAGCTTTTATACAGACGCGACGGGAATGCCGAAGTGGAGCCGAAGACCCCAGAGTTGGAGCCGAAGCCTCGGACACATGCGAAAATAGTGGATCCCGAGCCCTCAAGAGAGGAGGAGCGAAGTGGAGGCTTCAGCCTCAGAATTGCGCGAATCTTTAAGCAGAATTTCAAGGCGGCATCGATTGTGTCGTTTGCAGGTAATAATGTGAGATCCACGCATTCCTGGTGTCCCGTAACCCCCTGAACCCCCTGGTATGCTCCACCTCATCGTTGGGAAACACATATCAGCAGGTAGTGGTCGCAGTCATATGATCGCCGCACCGGCGGGATGGGGCGGCTGTGGAGGGGCGTGGCTCCTTTGTGTTCTGCAGACGTAGACGCCAATGTCGTTAAATGAGCAAAGCTTCCAGCAACAGATCCATTTACAGGAGAAACAACATTTGATGAACTGGATGATTGGGTGAGTAGAATAAATACATTAACAGGAATTATGATACTTTCATAATTTCATCTTTGAATGTGATAAGCAAATTTATTCCTGTATGAAATCAGTGCAAAAAGGTTTGTTTTACTGAAGTTCCTCTGTAGCTATGCAAGTGTCTGTGTGCAATCGGCAAAGTTAAAGCAGAAATCGAGTTACATATGCGCCAAGGCCCTGCGGGAGTCATTTTGGTGGATCCAAGGGGCTTTGGGTAGGGGGCTGAACGCCCATGGAACACCCGAGTGTGTTTTTTGTAAAACTTCCAGCACACAAATAAAAAATAGCCAAGTATAATCCTCCAATATCATTCACGTTACGTGGGACCACGATCGAAGTAAATGATTTGTTGAGAAACCGTAGCCGAAAATACCAAATGAGCTACGGTTTCATTCCGCTGAATTCCTTTTGCAAACTTTTGTTGTTGCTGCAGGAAGAGCCGGGAGGATCATCTTTATGGAAAACAACAAACAAACAGGGCAGCAAAAAAAAAAACAAGAAAGGACGCAGAAATCATAAAGTGGTTTTGAACAAGTTAAAAAAGCGCATAGGGGAAAAAAGGCAGGAAAAAGCTCCCGACCGAATCTCATTCATAGTGATCCGTGATGAACAGTGGTTCAAAATGTAATGTTGCGCACTGCTAAATCACATTACCACTGTAATTAGGGAAAATATTTTGACTTGAAAATAACTTCAAATTTCTGAAAAATACTGGACATAAACTGGCTCTAAATTATATCAATTGGTATTTTCGACTGGCCATGTGTTTTTTTTAGTTATTTTTTGATCAGATAAAGTGTTTACGAAATGAAAACTATTAGTATAATAAATGTTAATTAAGTAATGTATGGCATTACTGTTGTACTGGAAAGTATCGCTGATTTTAATATAAGAGTGATGTCATATTTATAGTTTTAAAATTATGTCTGGATTTCAGATACCACCGTGCTATCGCCAGCCTCCAGAATGGAATCGAAGAGCAGAAAAAGGGCAAAACGTGGAAATCGAAAACGTATGCAAAAAGCACACTCGTACAAACATACATACATATGTATATATGTGTGCGTGTGGGCAAATTTGATAAAGAATGAGAATAGGCTGCGGAGAAAGAAATTGCAGCAACAATGTGAATGGGAATGGAGCACAATAGCGGGGGGACCGCAAAACAACGCTGGACCGTCAAAATGTGAAGAGCTAAATTGTAAATCGAAATTCCAAGAAGTGAGCTTTAAGCATCGGTTTTTTTTTAGTTTTCGGGTTTCGGTTTGTGCATTAAAAAGCCTGTGAAGTGTGCGAAAAAAAGCGTTTGAGATACATTTGCGCGCGCGCGCGCGTTTCGCAAATCACTGCCAAAAGGGTTAAGGGTGGTGCGGTGGGCAGGAATGGGTAAAGGCTGGGCGGTCCGCTTTTTACCAGTGCGTGTGTGTGTTTGTGGCAGACAATGAAATGCAATTAGAAGCAGAACCAAAGAGGAGCCAGCGATTGGATGTCTAGGTGATAACTTATTAAAAACTTTTTATTTTAAGTACATATGTATGTACATACATACGTACATACATTGTATGTATTTTTATACATGCATTCATATGCATACACATATTCAAGATTAACTAATTAAATTACTTTTACAGATAATTTTTTTACATATTACTTCAACAAATAACGTGGTAAGTCCTAAAATTCCATTTCTATGATTTTATACATAATATAATCAAAGAATACTAAGCAGTCATATGTATCGAACTGTTATCTATAATTGCTCCAAAAAATCTTCTAAATAGAAGTTTCCCCTGCTCATTCGCATTATTACCAACAAATCTGAGGGGTAAAGGTGTGGACAGGGGAAATCTCGAAGTATGTACATAAGGTGGGAAAGGAAGAGCGGAGGAGAAGCGCACACAGATACTGATTAGAACAAATATCCACGGACGTAGGACGAAGAAACAGTTAGACAGGGATAGCGGTTCCCTCTCTCATATGTTCGATCAGCTGATCGAGGGCCGAAGGATATGAACAGCAGGGAAACCAAATTAGTCCTGTGTGTGTGTGTGTGAGCAAGAAGGGGAAAAAGAGAGGGGGCAAGGATAAGAAGGAGCGTTCACAACGTGCGCGCGCAAATTCCTTAACACGAGCTGAGAAAGAGAGTAGGAATCGAGGGGGTGGGGGCAGGAGGAAGGACGAAGGAGGCGCGGCGCTGAGATTTCTTGGGAGAAAGAGAAGCAAAGAAGTGCAGCGCTGCCGAAGAAGTAGGTGAAGAGCAGGGAATAGCCTTACTTCGTTTTTTTTTGCGCCAAAACCTTTTTGGTACTAGTATGTGTACGAGTGTGTGCAGGACTCGTTTCAGTAGGAAAGAGAGGGGGCGAAAGAGGAGTTCGATCGATCCGTCTTATGTTTATCTTTCGCTGCCCTCTTCTTTAGCCGTGATTTCTTGCCTTTTTGTGATATGTGTTTTTTTAGTCGCGTTCTTTTCGTTTTTCTCGTCTACAAACTGATTGTGAGAAATATTGTATCTTCGAGATACACTTCGTTACTTGACTTTCCGCCGTTGCGTGTCGTTCCTCTTTCATTTTTCATTTCACTTCGCCTTTGTGGTCTTGCCCCACTAATTGATTCTCTGCATAAATTTTATTTAAAGCTTTAATAAATGTCAAAATAAGCAATTCATTTCGATGTTAGAGAACGCACACCCATACCCCCACAGCCATACATATGCTCGGTCGGTCCATTGTCCGTGGAATGAAGCTCTCTCCCGGACAATCAATTGCCGGGTTCAGGGTTTAAATGTGGAAGAAAGCTGAGAAAGAGGAAATCAACTGTCCATTAGTGCTGAATGGTATCTGGCAGGGATCTCCATGGGTGGGTGTTGTGTCATCATGTGATTTGTGGGAAAGGAAGTTATCGTAATCAATAGAAGGGCAGTTGCCCTAATTTCTCCAAACTATTAGCTTTGAAAAACCCTGATAATTAAAGCTCGTTATCAGAATTGTATCCCTAAACATGACATGGTGACATTATAGAACTTTATAGCGCTGACTAAGAGCGATTAAATCAGTTTTATCTTACAGGAAATACGCCATTGAATATATAAGTTAGTTTAAAATTGATTTAAATATCTATTTTTAACTTTTTAGATATGTTATAGTGTATAAGATTTCCCTATGGTTTTGGGGACATGCCTGCCCTACACCGGGTTCCCTGATAAGGTGGCTTTTGCTCCCCAAGTTCCGATTGTTGCAGTTGTTTGTTTGTTTGATTGTTGGTTGAGCTCTATGCTAATGTTTTTATAGCATTGTTGAATGATATGAAAATTCTTGGGCCCGTATCTGAACTATACAGCAGCCTCAGGAAGTACTAATCAACGTTATTCCTCTGTGAGTGCTCTCTGTTCCGTCACTCTCGGCACATATTTTTAACGGCTGGGCGGTACAACAAGAGTTAGTATTGTGTGGCAACATCGGTGAGTGGGGAATGTCGGGAGTTCCGTATGTAGATCAACATATGCACTCGCTGTTCGCGCTCCTCTAATAAGCGAACAATGTTCTTGACATGCTTAGATATGGCACATGTACTCCTATGCCCTTTGCAGGGGGTATGATCATTAGTTGGGAAAAGGTTAAAAGTCAAAAGGCATTTCAGGCATAATTTTAAAATTCAAATACGTTTCCATATCATTTTATTATCAACATTTCAGGATAAATCTTTTTCAAATCGATCTTATTTGACTGATGAAAGAGCATCCAAGCTTCGATGTTGAAAACCATCCTTAGTTCCATGTTTATTTGAATATTTTTATGAGTTGCGCGCATTTCAATTCGATTTTGATATGCCTGTCGCACATATCGGGGTTTCCAGGCCAGTTCAGGGTGTTGCGAAAATAAAGATTAGATTGGGACCCGAATAGGGCTCATCTGCCTGCCACATTGCTGCCAGGCGAAAAGGAAAGCATTGCGTTGAGACCCCATCAAAGAGCACACGCTGAGTGCCACTTGAGTTTCCCAGGCCTAGTTCTATAACTCCAATGTGATCTGTTTTCGATTGGCAAGGTTTCCCACAGCACCCCCTCCCGGCCTTTGGCTAGCTCGATCTATTGGCCAACACAATTAGTTTGTGTTTTGCTGGCAATTTTCTATATAATTTGAA